ATCGACGGTGAAACTACCAAACCACGTATCTCGTTTGCGGTGTTTAAAAATCTACGCTCGCATTTTATTTTTTTGAAGTAGACCAAATCAATATCATTCCTTGAAATTTTCATAGAATTTTCTCCGCACGATGAGGAAAAATCACAAAAATTTTCAAGACTGGACGTTGAGTAGTTTTTCATTTTAAAAATAAAGGATGACAGGAAGTCTGCGACGTCGCAAACCGAGATACGTGGTTTGGTAGTTTCACCGTCGAATTATGGTGCCGGTGCATGCGAGTTTTAAATGTAAGTAGGTCTACAAAGATATCCTAAAAAATAATCGGACATATCGACTTAAAAATAGTTAAAAATCGCAAGTGTCAACACAGCCGAAGATAGGAGAGACGAATCCGGGCCTGGGTTGCACGCGTGAAGTATAAAATATGAAAGATTGGAAATTTCCGTGAAATATATATTTCATGAAATTTCACGAGGCTATGAAAAATCTCATATTTTTTAGGGGCTAGAGTATGCGACTCGCACTAAAACGCCCAAAAACAGAAGAGAGCCACAACTTATACATTTTGCGAAACATGAAAAGGAACCGGTGTTTTTCAATATCTTTCATAAATTTCTGAAACTTCATGAAATATATCACGTAAAATTTCAAGATTTTATTTTTCAAGAAAATTTGCAACCCTGATTCGGGCCCCTTTTTTAAACCATTCTCTCGAATTGGAGCGCCACCTCATTGGTGGCGTAAAGCGGAGCGACCAGGGCGTTAGAAATTCACGCCTCGCGCCGTCGCGCCTTCAATTTTGCAGACGCAACACGGACATCCATCAAGGACGAATAGTTGTATCTCTGCGCCGTTATCAACACGCATCCTTTTCCTTGCTTTTTTTTAATGTACGTGTTGGTTCCGTTTTTCTTATCTATCGTGGTGCATCAAGAGCTACATGAGTATAACACAGCTAACGATAGGAGCGACACAATGAAGCCTCATTTTTAAAATATTCTCTCGAATCCGAGCGACACCTTATTGGTAGCATATATCGGAGCGTTGTAAATTCACGCCTCGCGCCGTCGCGCCTTCAATTTTGCAGACGCAACACGGACATCCATCAAGGACGAATAGTTGTATCTCTGCGCCGTTATCAACACGCATCCTTTTCCTTGCTTTTTTTTAATGTTGTGTTGGTTCCGTTTTTTTTATCTATCGTGGTGCATCAAGAACTACGTGTGCATAACGCAGCCGACGATGAGAGGAACGTTATCGGGCTCGTAATTTAGCTTTTATGCCGAATCTAAGCATCTGACATTTCTAAAAAAAATTTCGTTCGCATTACCTATTAGACAAAGCAACGATAATAAATACAAGTTGTAATGCAATGCAATAAAATTTCGTTTTTTTTATTTATCATTAAATTGAAACAATGTCCACATTGAGGTCGATAAATACCGATTTTAAACGATCGATAAGATGTAGCTCTACGTCTGTCAGAGAGATAAACCGATGGTGAAAATGCAGAAGTGCGTATCTCGGAAAACACGATTTTCTAGGAAAGCAAAAAAATTATCTAGGTACGTTCCTCTTCATTGTTGGTAGAGGGTTAATAATTCTTGAGGATAGTAAGAATAAGATGTTTTTTCAGACTCCATCAACATTTTGGATAATTTCTCGAACTGATAGAAAATACGGCAGAAATACCTACAGTCACGTTTTCGGCACTAAGAATTGGACTGTATTTTGCAATTTGGACCTTTAAATTCTGGCTCATCTGAAAAAACACTTATGTGCATAGGGAAACTAATGGCACATACGTTATTTTTAAACCGGGCCGGGATTTATAGGTCTAAATTGCAAAATGCAGTCCAATTAACACTTCATCACGAGATACGCATTTTTGCAATTGGTGTTTTAAACCTGTTGTTGGCGGATTTTGATCATTTAAAGACTGAAAAAAAGTTTCACGCTTACAATTCCTCATCAGATAAGATTTCGTTTGATCTCATACGGCCAGATATCAAGCATCGTTTGATTGGAAAATGACATTTGATCACGAGATACGCATTCCTGAAATTAGCGTTTTGAACCTGCTCTTGTAATTTTAAACAAAAACAAATTTTAAATTTCTTTACGAACAATTGACGCCATTCTCTACATGGATTGATTTCCGTTGTTTTCATACATTCAGTAGATCATTTCACCCATTAAAAAGCTAAGTTAACAGTCGAATTTTGTATAAAGACAGGAAATAGTAAGATCTGATAATAAATGGCAGAATCACTCTTGGGAAAACACAGAATGACACCATCTACTTGTTTAACAAAACGGAATTCAAAGTTACATTCTAAAAAAGGAAAAATCTAAGCATCAGATCACTATCTATGGAAACAGAGCCATGGATACAACGTCAACACAACGCTGTCCGTAGGAGTTGTAGCTGAGACAAAAATGCTGAGGCCTTGTCTCCACGGGACGTTTCATGGGATTTGTCCCAAGTTCGAATCGCATGAATGAGACTTCTGGGCTTTTTTCGCGTTTTACAAAACAACGAAATTTCTTCTTCTCTCTGCAGACTCTAATTTGTATGATGAGTATTCATTAACTCAATATTTTTCCCAACTTCGCAAGTGAGATGTATCCCTGGAAAAAATCACATGAAACGTCCCGGGGAGACAAGGCCTTATACATACATCCTTATGAGAAAAATGAATTCAAGTCTGTTCATGATGTTTGAGTTGTTAAGGTGAATCTACGTAGTTTTAGAACCATGTGAAACCGGTTTTGAATAATGAAATTTATTTACTTTGACTTTTTTCGACGAATTTGATTTGTACAATGTGGATAGTTGGTCAGGAGTTTAGGTTCAAATTTTAAAGCCCTTTTGAAAACAAAGGCAAAGCTACGACAGAGGTTCCCTGGTAAAAATTGGCAGTAGAATCTGTGTTCCAAAATACCATAGACCTAAAGCCGGCTGTAAGATTTTCAATTAGCCTCTATAGCCGGCTGCACAATTTCTTATAGCCTTTTATAGCCGATGGCGATTGAGCAACAGCCAGGCGATAAAGTGTATGCTACATGTTACTAATTACGGATGCTAGGACTTAGCGAGTTTTTGGACTACCGCTCTATTTTTGGGCCGTAGTATCTTGATTTATTTTGCGCGGAAAGCTCCGTACTTTTGAAGGATGCCTGCCATTCCGAATATGTTGGAGCGCCTTCAATTTCGTATGATACTGTGCAATACCTCTGGTGTGAAATAGTTGCTTCAAGCGCCGTGGCACGCTGCGGCGCGGCGAGCGGGCAGCCAGCGCGAATAGCGCCTACAAACCTAACAGGGATACTTCACGCATTGCGCCATGCGTGAAGTATCCCAGTTAGGTTTGTAGGCGCTGGTGCGCGCTTATCGCTGGCAGCACGCCGCTCCGCTCTGTGTTATGCTCCAATATAATCTTGCGGAGTCAGCGTTTTTCAACTCATGATTTTGAAATGTTTGCACATCCTGTATGGATTATTCTCATTTTAATTGATGAAAAAAATATGTATTAAAGGAAAATATGTGTGTTTTGTGAATATTATGTTGACTCCGTATCAAACTGAATGATTTCCAAAGCACACGAATTTCTACACAATTTCTTATGGCTTTTTATAGCCAATGGCGATAAAGTGTAAATCCCGGCGATAGGAACTATATAGCCCAGCTGCATACTTTTTTATCGCTCCGTATAGCCCGGCTATATGATTTGCTCCGCTTTCTACAGCCAGCTATATGATCTATTGCCTTCTTTAGCCGGCTATAAGAATTCCTATGGTATTTTGAAACGCAGCTCCTATCGCCAATTTTTACCAGGGTTTTCATTGATCAATAAGTTTGAGTTAGTAGATAGGTACAAGATTTCTCTGGTTTCTACTTTTGGTAATTGACAACATTTTAAAGTAAGAATATTTTTATTTTGAGCTTTTGGTAGCAGCGCCCACGCTTGCACTTATTTCTGCAAAATAAGTAATATAAAGAAAAAAATTGAGGGGATCGGAGGACAAACCGCACGAGTGCGGTTTTTGAAAAAATTGAGATCATAATGATTTTAATTAAAACTAGTCTTGAAATATATTCTTAGAAAATTTTGCTGCTAAAATCCAATTATTAGGTATCAAAAAGTGAGTTTGAACTTTCTTTCCTTTTTAAGGCTCTATGTAATTTTGATACTTAAAACAGGTTTTTCTTGAAATAGCTAAAACTGAACATGCACCTTTATCTCTAACTCAATTCAGGACAAAATTAAATGAACTAAGCGTACAGACTTTTCCAGCTGCATGAGTGAATAGGTTCAATTACCTTTTAGGTGTGAGCTCTTTCATAAAATAGGTGATGCTAAATTCAGGGGTTTTCAACCCCCTTCCCCTTCGTAACGCTTTTGTAACATTGCCTCCTAATCTGTCCTATCCTTTAACACGCAAAAACGAAGTGGAGTAACGTTCCCTTCAGGCCGCCTCCCTCCCTACAGCACTATACCTATTATACAGGGTGGCCCAGACCTACCGTACCAGGCCTTTTTTTCGGTTAATTTGGGTCGTACGAAGTCCAGAATCGCGGGGATGAATAGGGAATCGACCCCAAGGAATCCAAATTGCATGGTCCCAGAGCCCCCCTGGCGCCCCTTGGGGGAAAGGGCGTGGCCGTACTTCAAAAGTCAGGGTTTATGTCAAAATTTTGAAATTATTTCATCGGAATCAGAACGTACGGAAATGTTCAACGTAAATCGTCACCAAAAAATTTAAAATCGGCCCATTCGTGTCTAAAATACCGACCCCTAACGGTGAGGGGCAGAACCCCCTTTTAAAATAATTCAAGTTCGTTAAATTGACGAGGAGACTCGGAAAAAATGTGTATTCATGGGTAGTTGACCCCAAGGAATCCAAATTTGAGGGTCCCGTTGTCCCCAGAGACTTTTCTGTCGGTATTTTGGACACGGATGGGCCGATTTTGAATTTTTTGGTGTCGATTTAAGTTAAACATTTCCGTACGTTCTGATTCCGATGAAATAATTTCAAAATTTTGACATAACCCTTGACTTTTAAGGTACGGACCTCCCCTTTGCCCCCCAAGGGCCGCCAGGGGGGCTCTGGGACCATGAAATTCGGATTCCTTGGGGTCGATTCCCTACTCATCCCCGCGATCCTGGACTCCGTACGACCCAAATTAACCGAAAAAAAGGCCTGGTATGGTAGGTCTGGACCCTGTATATGAACAGCCCTTGTGCCATGTGTTCAATAATTTCTACCCTTGATGGTAATTACACAAACATAGTGAACAATTATTCATTATTATTTGGATCACTTGAAGGTAAATAAGCACCGGATATAAACTAGACAGATGAATTTATTATAAAATCTTTGATGAGAGCAGATGAAAATCATTGTGATTGTGTGACAATGTAGTGTACATTATTCAAAGTAAGAATGTATTAGCTAGGCAACTAGACACATGAATGACCATTATGAACCATTCTAGTTACGCTATAGTCATAAACAGCACAAAAAACCATACTTATATAAAGCATTTATAGTAATTTTACAGTTCTTTGTTTTTACTGTTTCTTACTTTAAGACATAGTGACTATTCTAGCGCTAAAAATAAGTATCTTCAATATTTTGCTTACATAATTTACAACACAGCTAGATAGATAGGTGATCTTTTAAAACTCTTGATTTCACTCATGTATCATTCGATTTGGAGTACTTCAAGAAGAATACAATACAAAATGCGATTAAAGATTTAATTATGGATTACAATCGATCAAACAAAATGACCGATAATTAAAATACAATAGGTCAGTTGTACTGGTCATAGAATCATGTTTTGATGATTTCAGGCGAGATCAGAAAAAATTGTAAGACCTACCCGAACAGGTATCCACACTCAATAATAACGATGAAAAAGTCGCACCCCTCCAGGAACGCAGCATGAGGGCATCAACATCGCATATTATAGTTTCTCCCACCTTCATTTTATCCATGGGTTACGAGAAGCAACCAGTGCAAATGCGTTTATCACCGACTGATGAAATCAAGGTGGAAGGAACCGTGCGGTATGTTCTATCTTGATAGATGACGTCATACGGGTTACGAGATGGATATCTTTGTTAATGTTAGACATGGAGACTAAACGTTTAGACCGATGTTATTATTTTTTGCTGATCCATAACTTTGGACCTTCAAAACGAGATTCTGTGACCAGCGCAACTGAGACTGACCCGTTCAAAAATAGATGATCCTTCAAAATGTTTGCAGGACCAACCGCGACAGATATGTGGTAAAATTTCAACAATTTCCCGCAATAAGTTGGTTTCCTACATCTAAGAACTTGGAATCCATTGAATCTTTAAAGTTGACCATTGAAGAATTTCTTCCTCGTGGTCAAAGCTTAAAATTTTCATCAAAGGCCTTGCAAAAAAGAGCCTTTGAGAGCTTTTAGAGGCTCACTGTCGATATAAGTGAATGTCGAAAGAAATGAAATAATTTCATCGGTGCTTCACGGTCAAATATCACAGAGAGTGCTTCCAATGATTAATTAGCCGGAAGTGAATAACTATCCTAATTTCTTCAATTTGATTTCATCAGAGGATGTCACAATCGTGGGAGCTGGACGCTTTGCTGTTCCAGTAAATATTTCAACCTGAAACAAAAAAATGCCATGGAAATGTCATTATAAAAACAATAATCAGGTAAAAAAAATAGTGAATTTTCATGTGTATGGGAGAAAAACAGAACAGTCAGCCATTACCCATTAAATTCAGCAATCATTAAATGTCGTCTTGTCGATCTCTTGTGTGGTTCAGCATGATTAATTTTTTAACCAAGAATGTCTCTGTGCGTCAAGCAATACGGATTGGTGGAGCGCTTACTTTTTTGCGCGACGTTAAAATCTCTAGTGTTTACAGCATTTAGCCGTCTTGGGAATCTCTCGTGTGTTTCAGCGTTATTAAATTTTTAACTAATAATGTCTCCATGCGTCGAGCAATGCGTATTGGTGGAGCGCTCACTTTTTTGCGCAGCGTCAAAGTCTCTAACGTGAGTACGCTATTTAGCTGTCTTGGGAATCCCTCGTTAGTTTCAGCATTATTAAATTTTTAACTAATCATATTATTAACTAATCATATTATTAATGGCTCCATGCGTCGAGCAACACCCGTCGTTGTTCGTCGATACGCTTCTGTTTCTGCGCTGCGTTAAAGTCTCTGCAGTGATTCTAATTATTAAAAAAAAAAAAAAAAAAAACTGTGATCCAATTTGAAAAAGAATATTGAATTCAACGGAGCAATTAGTTTTTTTCTAGCATTATTGGTACGCGAGAAAATCAACAGGATACTTCACTACTTAGATAACTACTTTACTACTAGATGAATCGCGCATTTTCTTAATGCTCGCGGGAATTTGCCGACAAAATGTTTTATGAATCAACCGTGGTCAAAGCAGACACCAATTGCACAACTAACTATTCGAACTCCGGAGTCGTCATGTGGTATCACTTCAAAATGAAGGAAAATCTTACGCAACATTCCGCCTGAGCTTGACGGCCTGACTCAAATTTTAGACGTCTATGAGTGGGGGTACTCTGCATACGACCATAGAGAAAATAAGGAGGTGATTGCATTTCGGGCATCTTGGACTTTTTTTGATGACGTAGGTGAGCGTAGGAAATTTAGCTGAATTGGAGCCTTTTTGGGGATTCCGTAACTGATGAGAATATTTATGAATTCGATTTTCTGAAAATTGCAAGCTCTTGGCAACAGTTTATTTTTTCATTGCGCTCTCGTTTCCCTGGTAAAAATTGGCAGTAGAATCTGTATTCCAAAATACCATAGACCTAAAGCCGGCTGTAAGATTTTCAATAGCTTCTACAGCCGGCTGCACAATTTCTTATAGCCTTTTATAGCCGATGGCGATTGAGCAACAGCCAGGCGATAAAGTGTATGCTAAATGTTACTAATTACGGATGCTAGGACTTAGCGAGTTTTTGGACTACCGCTCTATTTTTGGGCCGTAGTATCTTGATTTATTTTGCGCGGAGAGCTCCGTACTTTTGAAGGATGCCTGCCATTCCTAATATGTTGGAGTGCCTTCAATTTCGTATGATACTGTGCAATACCTCTGGTGTGAAATAGTTGCTTCAAGCGCCGTGGCACGCTGCGGCGCGGCGGGCGGGCAGCCAGCGCGAAAAGCGCTTTAGCGCCTACAAACCTAACAGGGATACTTCACGCATTGCGCCATGCGTGAAGTATCCCAGTTAGGTTTGTAGGCGCTGGTGCGCGCTTATCGCTGGCAGCACGCCGCTCCGCTCTGTGTTATGCTCCAATATAATCTTGCGGAGTCAGCGTTTTTCAACTCATGATTTTGAAATGTTTGCACATCCTGTATGGATTATTCTCATTTTAATTGATGAACAAAAATATGTATTAAAGGAAAATATAATGTGTGTTTTGTGAATATTATGTTGGCTCCGTATCAAACTTAATGATTTCTAAAGCCCACGAATTTCTACACAATTTCTTATAGCTTTTTATAGCCGATGGCGATAAAGTGTAAAGCCCGACGATAAGAACTATGGCCCAGCTGCATACTTTTTTATCGCTTCGTATAGCCCGGCTATATGATTTGCTCCGCTTTCTACAGCCAGCTATATGATTTTCTATTGCCTTCTTTAGCCGGCTATAAGAATTCCTAGGGTATTTTGAAACGCAGCTCGTATCGCCAATTTTTACCAGGGTTACTAAGAAAAACTGCTAGTGTCCAACACATGCAATAGAATGTATGTGTTTTACCCCCTGAAAAAGTCCGACGAATAGTTTTGATTTTCTGAGGTTTTGAAATTAGATTATAGACTTGAGCTGAAATCGCGTTTTCGGGCGATTAGGCATTTCCTGTAAAGCATGAACAGATGAACACGTGCGGCTAAAAATCTGAATATATTTCAAAATGCTCAACTTCTAGCTTGATTCCATGTGGTTAGCATAGTTTTCCTCAAAACAATTTTCGAACACGCTTTTTCATACTTCAATGTAGCCACATACGCATTTGTAATCAGTCATATGCTCGATACGTTCTTGAATCAACTCATGATATAATTTCAAGTATTTTTTAAAGAATGATTTTTTCCCTTAAATTACACCATTTCTAAGAAAATCGATGATAAAACTCATCGTACCGACCTACGTCATCAAAAAAAGTCCAAGATGCCCAAAATGTAAACACCTCCTTTTTCTTCTCTATGGTCGTGTGCATAATACCGGACTTAAGTATAGACGTCTAAAATTTGAGACAGGTGAAAGGTTGCGTAAGATTTTCCTTCATTTTGAAGTGATGCCACATGACGACTGTGGAGTTCGAATAGTTACCCAGTTCATAGTTGTGCGATTGGTGTCTGCTTTGACCATGGTTGATTCATAAAACATTTTGTGGGCAAATTTCCGTGAACATTAAAAAATTGCGCAGTTTATCCAGCTGCTGGGTAAAAAACATAAAGAGACTATACGTGACTTTCGTCTAATTATCACGGCTGATACGCGATGTTTCTAGCGGTTTTGCAAAAAACTGAGAAATTGCGCATTTATCATCTCAATATCGCGGCAAATACGCGTTTTCGCTAGCGGTTTGGTAAAAACATAACAAATTACCCATTTTTCACAGAATTATCGCGGCATTCCTAAATTTCAAAAAAAATTGAAACAGAGGAGGAGCCAAGATATGCCTTCGTTTTAATACGACAATTTACATGCTGCCTAGAAATATTGTATATTATTCCAAGCCCAAATAAGAAAAAGTAGAGAAAAAGGAGAAAAAACTAAGTAGGTAACAAAGAGCAGTTGGGTGTTAATATTTCAATTCTTTCAAGTTGAACTAGGACACAAATTGTGGATTCAATATTTGCAACACCTGCTTTGCAGCAAAAAATTCCCGAATACTCAGCAATGCTGACGCACGGTGCCGGCTCGCGATGGAGGTTCTAGGTACTAAGCCGTAGCCCTGTGAATATCCCAGACTTTTCCCTTACTTTCCAACTGGTTTTCAAATTCCCTGACCCTTGCAGCCGTACCAAATTAAAATGAAATTGATAATATGTTAGCTGGGAGCTGATTACTGTAATTTTTGTTGTGAACATTATGTTTTACATGAAATTTGAAGGAGGAAACACATCGATGTGCAAAGTGCAAAAGCACGTATCTCCGTTCAAGGACTGTCTAATTGTCCGCATCCTAAGGAATGTCAAGAAATTTTGATGTCTTTTTTCCCATCATGTGTTCACTGCAGTGAAATGCATGTTGGAAATTACAAGGGTTGTAGAGTTTACAAACAGATAAGGAAAAAGCGGATAGGTAAACCCAAACCCAGCGAAAAACCTGCTACTTTTCTGATTAGAGCCCCCGAGAAATTTGACAATCTAGGAAAGTTCATATGCAAGTGTTGACAATTTGAAACACTGCAAGGGAGATAGGTGCTTGGCACTCTGGCCACCAATGTATCAAAATGTTTAAGTTTGTACCTTGCCTAGTGCAGGGATCTAAAAGAAAAGTGGATACTCGCATACCCTTTCTTACCGTAGAGAACAGTAGAATCTCCTAGCTAGCCAATGAGAGTCTCCGATCTTAGACTAGTCGCAACGGAGCGCAGAATGGACTAGTACCGTTGTGCAGAGCATGATGGGAGAATATATATCTTGCGCAGTGGAAAGAACAGTAAGTTTTCTCGCTTTTTGTGACCTTCACTTCAAGCTTGATTATTTCATCGAGGAAAATTGATACTCAGTTGAAAGTTTTAGAAAACATACTTCATCATGCTGTCCAAACATTTAATCCATAAAAAAATTTCATTTCTACTCTCACAAAAAGAAATTGAACATAGAAAAGTGGGATTTCCCCATGAGAGTATATGGTGATTTTAATTCCCGCTATGAGCAACTAGTCCACAGCTATATTGTGCGAGTACTCACTTTTCTTTTAAATCCCTCTCCTAGTGGTCCATTGTGAGAATTAAAGAAACTGTCTTACCTTGGCCTTCTTCTTCGCCCTTTTTTCTATTTCAGCAGTTTGAGCTTTCAGCAACTCGTCATAATAGGATTCTTTCCCCCACTTTCCTGGATCATAGAGTGAAGGAGGATAATTCGTACCAAGTTCATTAATACCACAAAACTGAATTAACTTCTCATAAATGCTTGGGTTGCGGAAGTCTTTCCTGCTTTGGATCATTTTGTTGGTGTCAATCCTCTTTGTTTTCATTAAGTCAAGATATTTGATAATTTTGTCTTGAAGCTCTTTCGAGCACCGTCCTGGTGGTTCAGGTGGCAACTGAACATCATCGTCTTTGGTATCGTTCAAAGTGCTTTCATCGATTGAGGTTTTACTGGGATCCTCTGATATATCCATTTCGTCATCTGATGCTACTACATCATCGTGGCCGTACGATACAAGTCGGGACAGAACTTTGTTGCCAGTCTCTGTTGTCTTTTTTGGTCTAGGTGGTGATGGAGGTGATTCTGGTTCTTTAGTTTCATTGTTAGCTTTATTCTCACTTGAGTGTCTGCGGTCTGATTCATGAAATTCTTCTTCGCCTTCTGAGTCAGTGTAAGTGCCAGCCAAGGAATCTAGCGCAGCCATTTCGATCCACTTACCACTAGCAACTTTTCGATTATGTTCACTATTAAACTCGCAGAAATTTGAGAAACTATGATGAGATACAAAACGAAGCAACTACAACGACAACAAATGACGCGAGAATGAAAACATCGATCGGAAAACGTAGAAAAAAGAACCTCAACCAGATATGCACAACACGAAAGCACAAACATAACCTATAAAAGCTCAGACAATGTTGTCATTATCTTGCTGACCAATCAGAAAGCTCAGTTCACATTTTAAAATAATGGACCACGCTGATCTGGCAACATACATTGTTATGATAATTTCACTACATAACCTCCAAAATCTGACAATACTTTTGCCGCTCTTTCTCGGGTAGTTTCTTTTCTTTGCTCGCATCGTTTCTTAGAGAAAAAACAGTTTCCTTTTTTATGCAAATACCATCAATCAATTCTAGTTCTCAGTGTTTTACGCTCCTGCATGTTATCAACGGTTTTTATATCTCTGCAACATTTTTACCAAACAGGATTTCCTCCAATCCATTGAAGTATACTCCTGTCACCTGTCATCTCATTGCTTCGCTAGCAGCTTGAAGGTATAAAAATCTTACTCATTTTACTCTTTTAAATTCCTTAAAGTTGCGTTGTATTGACCGGCATTAATGCGTTTACTGAGCACAGAGTATAGAACGGTTCCAGCATTAGCTCTGGAACTTGCAGTTGAATATCTATGTGCACAGTACGAACATAGAGAAAAAAAAGGAGAGGGCTTTTTTTTTTATCCGTGGAACGCATGGATCGCGATGATAGCGGTTTGGGCTTGTTCAACCAGCCTGAACCAACCTCAACCGACCTCGGAAGAGGGATCCAAGCGTTCCACTGGAACACATGGAACAGTTGGATCGCGCCAGTGGAACGCGATAAAAAAGTGATACACGTTCCGTTGTGGTCCTCTGTGGTTCGGATAAAAAAAAAGCCCTGAGGTGTTTGCATTTCGGGCATCTTGGAATTTTTTTGATGACGTAGGTCGGTGCGGCGACTTTTATCATCAATTTTCTTAGAAATGGTGTAGTTTATGGAGAAGATGCATACTTTATCAAGTATTTGAAATTAAATCATGAGTTAATTTAAGCAAAAAAATCGGACATTATAATCCGTTTTTCATACTTCGAATTCCGGATTTCGTTGGCCAGGTTGTACCGACCTACGTCACAGGGTAAACAAACCTCAAGATGCAAACACCTCCTTTTTTTTTCTCTATGCAGTACGAAGATTTCATAATGCGGCAATCAAGCTGCATTTATCAGCTGCGCTGAAAGTTGCATTCACGTGAATGTTCTGTGTGAGCCAAATTTTTTTTCACGCATTACCTGTATAGCCCAAAACGATTGATGAATCTTCAAAATTTCTCTGAAGATTTTTCTTAGAGCTGCCGTCTCTTGTCTCAGACCATAGACTTATAACACAATCTAGGCCGGACCTCAGGCAGGAAAGGTAAGACAGCTAGGGAGGTAAAGCAGGGTAAGGACGCGTCCACAGCTTATTTAATGCAGCCTGATATACAAGTCTTACCACCTGATACTCATTGTAGGAGCATGGCTGCGCCAGCACAAGTCTGTTTGGCTCGAGGGTGGTTTACTTTCACTGGAAATTTAACGGCACTTAAGGCTGCCAGCAGCATACTTGGACCAGAGACCAAGGGCAGCTGGATGATATCAGTTGCTATCGCCTCACCGAAATATCCTAATATGCTGTCTAGATTGTGTTATATGTTTATTTTTCAGACAATAACCTCTTCACTTTTCCAAAATAATTTCTCTTTTGGAGGAACATTTTTTTTTTTGTCCAAGGAATATGTATTCTTGAAAGAAGATGCCAACTTACTCTTGACAATTTTTCTCTGCCTGATGATTGGAAACAGTGCGTCTTACACTCAGGCAGTAGCTAATGGTCCATACATTGAAAAGACAATGAATTAAATTGTGGAATTTTCTCCAAGAATTTTTTTGCTCAATTCCTTCTTTTTGCAAATTAAAACAAGGAATGGAAAACTGAGGCTCATCTACAATATTTCTACTTTTTTGAGGGGTCAAAGGCAGCTATGCATTTTTAAATAAAGGGAGGGAGTTTAGACCTGCATCATGAGTCTTTTGCAGGGTGGAAGGGGCAAGAAACCTGATTTTTAGGGTATTGTGTTTTATGAGTGGCCCATATTATTGTATCCTACACTTTGTCTAGAATTTCTCCTCTTTTCATGCCTCTGATCAAGCATTTTCTCTTACAGAATGGGCCGAAAAAGCGAGAAAAACAAGGAGAAAATCCTGAAACGTAAAGAAGAGAAAGCACAACTTACAAAAGCATGGGCTTCTATCAAGAAAGCGAATCAAATTGATGATCCACTTGCTGAATTTCCAGTTTTCCACAAGTACACTAAGGATGAAAACGTTTTTCTCCTGGAAACTAAAAAATTTGAAGCCGTAGACGCTGACACAATGGACTGGATTCTTGATCTAGAAAAGAGGAATATGGAAGATATGTACAACAACTGCAGCTGGGGCTGGAGTGATGAAAAGAAAAGCGATGAGATGAAAGATGACCGTGCTAGGTATTTGATAGCTCGAACAGATTATGGAAAACCTGTTGCTTTCTCTCATTTTAGGTTTGATCTTGATTACGGGTTTGAAGTTTTGTACTGTTACGAACTACAACTGGAAGAAAGTGTTCGTAGGCTAGGTTTAGGTAAATTCATGATGCAAGTTTTAGAGCTGATTGGTTTTTCAAATCGTATGCGTAAAGTAGTGTTAACTAGCCTGAAACACAACCCTCATGCCATGGCATTTTTCACCGCCTTGAATTACATAATGGATGAAACTTCCCCTGATGAAGAATATGAAGGACCTCAACCCTATGTTATCCTCAGCAAAACAAACAAGAAAATGTTAAATTTCTTCTCCTAGATCTAAGTAAGCACTTACTATAGCTCTTGCCACATTATTTTATTAACTGATTAAAACTCTACAAATTTAAATCAAAGATTTTGTCATAAATGACACATGTGACTGCCAAGTGTTGAAAGCATGGGAGAATGCATGATTAGTTTTTTACTTTTTCTCATTGTTTCGTAGTATAGAAAATCAGCCTCAGTGTCTCACTGAACTTGACTGTTCCAGTAAAGTGACTTTAACTTTAGGCCTCTTTCCAGGCCAAAAATTCATTTTACAAAACATTGATTTTCCCCTAAGTAATGGCAAGTTAAGTAATGGACGAAATGAAAAGAGTAACATAAGTGTTTTAATTGTCTATGCTCTATTGATTGATTTCTTGTTTTAGCCAATTGATTCTGAAAAAGTCAAGTGTTGCATATCCTATCTGCTTTGTTCCCGGTTCAACTCATTGATGTGTCACTTGCCTATGAATTGTAAAAATGTTCGCACAAAATTTCGAACCATGGATTTTGGATCAATTTTTTTTTTCCGAGTCTATCAGATTGAATATTATGCACACCTTTCTGTCATCCTATCTAACTTACAATATCACATCATGACGTCAATTAGTAATTAAGCTTTCCTTTGCATGATCAAAGATTCAAAAGTGAATAAACCTTATTCTCTACAAATTGTCTTGTCTTTTCTTCAAATTTTTTCCCAACCTGTAATTTCTTTGTTGAAACTTTGCTATACCTAATCATAATGGCAATTGATGACTTTGGTGAGTGCAGTATGAAGAATATGCATATGACACTCCTTAAAAAGTGGTTTATTGTATCTTTTGAACCAACTTTTTCCCCCGTAAACAAAAAAGAAACACTTCAACTCAATTTATATAAGTAGTTTGGCAACATAAATGCACTTTTTTTTGAGCCAAAACATTCTTGTACATCAAAATTTGTAATTCCTTTTTATCAGAAGGTCACAAACATTTTATAATCCTCTCTTCATCACCAGTGAATTTGACAGGCACTGTTTGAGAATTGAGCCAGGATAGAGGGGGCAAAATAAGCTCTTATTTGTTTATAAAATTAACCAACTATAAAGCCCACATATACTGCTAACATTCAAAATTTACCCCCAATTATTGGACCTCCAGTGACGTATTTTGTAAGTACTTATTACTTGCAGGAAGAAGTAAAAATCAAAATTTAAGATAAAGAAAGAATCATCTATCAGTTGAAAATAACAAATTTAATTCATTTTCCTTACATATAAAAGTATCTATTTACAGTAAGTATGGAAATATGTAAAAAAATGAAATGCAAATAAAAAATCAGACCTGCTCCGGTAGTGGTATTGAACTGGGGTGTATAGCAGTTGCGAATATTCTCACACCCTAGATATGATTACTCCGATCGAATAATCTGAACCATAGATTTTGCTACAAGGCAGAAATCACTACTAATTCTAATAAGAAGCTCATCCTAAGTAAAATGTCCTTCAAAACAGATAAGCAACATGTTCATAATTGCATACTTTCTGTAATGCAAATTTGGTACAAGGGTTTGTCTTTTTTGTGTTACCTCATAAGATTATAAGAGATTGGGAAACTTAATGAAATGTACAGCAAGATATCAGATGCAAGTGCAAAAATTGTCATGAACTGCTAACATGACCTAGCTTTACATATTCATCCCCTGTCTCTGCAACTATCCAGAAAAATCTTTGATAATATTAGGAAGAGCGCAAAGACCCATTTACAATAGATTTACTAGCAGTGAAAAAAAAATACAAAGAGGGCATAAAGGAGTAATAATTGGGTTCTAAGTTTAAGGGAGAGTAAAAAAATAAGTGATAGCCTAAATGGAAGATATCAGCTAAACACATTGAAAGAATTGACCACACCTTTGCAGGCAAAATATTTTAGAACAGGAAGGAAAATTTGATAAGACGGTACAAAGACTAAGTTCTTTCGTTGAAACTGTAGTAAGAATTAAAAGATATCACGGGGACTAAAATTAAAATTTTTTGAAAGCCGTCCATCTAGACGGAAATTATCACTAACTGAAATGAGATCATGATTGCACAAGTTGATTTACCTCAATCCAAACGGTTGGCATGGTTCAGAGCTAAGCAATTACATAAAAAAATTACAACCGACAAAACATCCAGCACATACTTTTAAAAAAGCCATAAAATAAGTAGGTAGTTAAAGCATTTGGGAATTTTTTACTTCACAAAGCAGTTATTAAAAAGGAACTTGTCTTTCTGTGATCTTCCTTGACCAATAGAGCTTACATCAAAAACAATTTAAAAGTTTAAACTTGTGACCTTCACCATTTATTTAAATTAAAAATCTTATTACAGCTTCAACAGTCGAGAGAATCCATTGGTAGGAGAGTTGCTGATACTAAACTGGATATGCGCAATGACTTTGACCAAAATAAGCTTGTTATCAGTTCTCTCTCTCTGCAACATTTTTGTGTTCAATGAGAGAAACTCCATGGAATAATAACCAACCAATGCCTTTAAATGTGGTGAGGATAATGGAGTATGCAGTTGAATAATCATTGAAGCAAGAGTTACTGGTTTGCAATAAAATATTTTCTCAGATCAAAATCGCTAAGATTACAAGCCAGGCATGTATTCTAATTTCCAGTTTACTTGTGCCCCTCTCCGACCAATGCCTCGAAAATATTGCGAGAAATAGTTCCTATTAAAGAGAGTGTCATAGACAATTAGTGTTTGACAGACTTACGAGTAAAATTATACAAAATAACAAATCAACAAGTAAAAAATAAACGCTAATATAAATACAAACCTAGCTCAGGTATTGGAAGCAAGTTTAGGATCTTAACTCTTTCACAAAGATCGTTTCACATAAAGCTGAATATCAACTGAACGTACGTAAAATCGTGATTGGAATCATGTTCTGAAAAGTGGTTAAAAATTTCCAAAAACTGTTCTTAAAAGTGAGAATTTCATGCATTTGAAAGGTGTTGAATACATGAGATCAACTTCACATTGCAGGAGAGACATCATCTATACTCTAGAACTAAGTAGTACAGCGTAAGGAGTGAATTCACATTATTATTTTTTTTTTTTTGGGGTACAATTAAAACTCTCTCTCTCCAGTTCTGATTCCCTCCTTGAAGTCACTTTGGTCTTTTTATGGTGATGATTGGTTGTATAATTAAAGCCTGAGACCTTTACACTTATTTGAAAGGCCTTACGCTTCAGAGATCTTCAACTTTCTGGCTTGGTTTCCACCATCTAAATGAGCCCATCAAAATGGGTCACACGCAATTGTTGAATGTTGCTATCAAAATTAAATGGCGTTGCTACTTTTTGATCAACATAAATCACAAACAGAATATCGAATAAATATTGATTGATTCTCAGCTGGTGATTAATGGTGATCAAAACTTAGAGACACCTCTTAATTCGGATCGTAAACAACTCAGAAGTCGCATTGATGACCTATTATGATTGTGAAAACCAAGTTTATGGATAAAAAAATTATAAGTTTAACTTTGATGAAACTTTCCAAAACCTTGGCATTAGATTATTACTTTGCTGAGCTAGAATACAGCGGAACGTCTTTCATCACTTGAATTATTTTACACTTATTCTTTACGAAAGTACTACTAATTGTTGCAAATTATCGAATTGCTGCTCGCATGTGGTCTTATAAGTTTTACCAGCTTTGTGTTGTATTTTGTTAGGTTTTGTTATTATACAATAATCACATCCAACATGTCAAGAAACATGGTACTGTTCCTCATTTTCAAAATGTTCGAAACAGGTTTTTAAAGTACAAACTAAATATTTACAGGTCTTGCAGGCTGCATTTGCGAAACAATTTCGGAAAAGAAATAAACAAAATTTCACCTCTAGCTTAGAACATTCTTTGACACATTAACATTTTATCATTATGTTCTTGAAAATGTTCCTTGAAGGAGGATCTATCCAGTTCTGCTTGATAACAAACAGGAATGTAAAGAGAGCTAAAATGATGAGGGAAGGAGAGTAGTGCATCTCTTGGACTTGAGGTAATGTTGGCGACACGTGTCCTAATACATGGAAATTGACCCAGAATGGAGCGCCCACTGAACAATGAATCGAATGTACTGTTGAAATTACAATTCTTCTTTTGCTGCCTTGGCTGTTCCTTTACGGTCGAAGCCTTTCAGCTCGTTGGTCGCATGCTTAGCGATGTACTTGACAAAATCGTCAACTTCTCGGCCACCCTGGGAGAAAACAAATCAAAAGAGATAAGTAAGTATGAAACTAGTTAAACGAAAAAATGAATGAAGTACATAAAGAAAAATTTAACTTAACGTTTCAGAGGATCATGGTTGTGGAATATATAAATTAAGACGCACATAGTGGGAAAATCAACAAAATCTATGTAAAACAAAAGTTAACCTACAGCATACATGGAACTACTTACAGTAAAAAACTAAAACAATTTTGGGAACACCTTGTACCCTTTCTTAGCGCATATGCATGAATCGTTGAACACTCATCTTATTTTACTGCAAAATGAACTGAAAAATAACTGACAGATACCGTAAGTTTTCATACTTTTCATTGTATTTAGGAGGAATTGAAATGTGTTTGTAAATTGGAAGTTCCATTCAGGCATTATAAGTTAAGCTGGATAGCATCCATTCAGGCATTAAAAGTTAAGCTGGGTAGCATGCAAGAATCAGTCAACTAAATGCATTCTCAATTCTTCCCTTCAATTATAATTTTGAGTTGACTTTCAAGCTATTGTACCTTTAAAAAAGCCTTCATGGTAATATATAGTAATATTATCATAAAAATCCTGTTTTTCAGAATCATGAAAGTAAAACTTTAGACAAACTTACATCATAGCGGACTGGACTAGATTTAGAGTCTTTTGGGAGCCAGAATAAGGTTGGGAAACCTCTGACATCATACGTTGAAGGTACATCATTTGCAGTGGCGTCCATCTTCACAATAGCTACATCTTCATCTTTCAACTGCACAAACAAAAAAATAGGAAAATTAGGATTACAAGAACAAAACTGCACTTAAAATGATAAAAAAAAAAAAAAATTGATTGCTCATAAAGAGGCTGTAAAATGCAGCAAGTTTAGGTTCGCTTAAAATTTTGGTTCAATAAAAAAATAAAAATAAAAAAAGAGGTCTTCCGATTATGAGTAAAGTTTTATTAATCTCCGTTTCATGAAGATGACACTTAAACATAAGGCACATCCAGCCGCCCAAATAACTTTTAAATTTCATTTCATGTAATGCCACAACTACAGTTATCAAAAGTATCCAAAACATTTTCATAACCAACATTAAAATGAGGCATATGTCACAGAGTTGTCAACATGTTTAAAGAAATTTTTCACCGCTAGAGGATAGCAACATGCTACAGTGGAGATGACATAAATTCAAACAAAAGCAGTGAGAATTTTGAATTAAGAATTTTATGAGAAGTCAAAATCATTAAGATGAATTTTTCGATTCAATGACAATTGTTAAAATTAACCACAATTACGATTAAGAGTTTGATTGATCGCGCAGCTCTAAATGTTCATGATGAAATTAGATAAAAACATATTTCACAGTCATTGCATTTCCTCCTCAGACCATCTTCAAGCATGATTCATAGAGAGAAAATTTCATGGAAGATTACGGTTCACGAAAGTTTTCCCATTTAAAAAATTAAACCATTCACAAATAAACGGTTTCCACGACTGAAGTTTCATTTGAGTGGTCACAATGGGCTTATTTCATTCAGTTACAAATCAAACACGCACAGTACCTTTTCTCCCAGTTCATCAAAGACTGGAGCTAACTTCTTGCAATGTCCGCACCAGGGAGCATAAAATTCAACTAAAGTGTCTTTGCCGTTGTTGATGACAACATCATCAAAGTTCTTGGCAACAGCAGTGATGACTGGTCCACTGTTGTCATCAGGGATTGGTTCCGATTTTAAGTAAGGTTCAAGTTCGCCATCCTTCAACTTCTGTAGGAAATCTTCAAATGTTTCAACTCTGGAAGAATAAAAATGAGTCAAGTCAGATTAGAATTTATGTGATTGTGACGTATGAATGCAGTAAAGACCATTGTTTTTGCCGTTGGTATTAATTCAGACCAAGCTACTAACGACCTTGCCTGGTGTTAATATTGATGCTGTCAAGGGTGTTTTTCTTTTTTTTTCTTCATTTTTTTTTTCATTTCTGTTTGTCATTTTTTTAAAAAAGCAATTTTTTGAAAAGCTTACCATTACTTAAGGCAATTCTATGCTTGCTTAAACTGAAATACTATACATTGCAGCATTATGATTAAAGTCCTTTGATTGCAATGTTACTAAATTGAGATAGGACTGATGCGTTTAAAAAAGTAACAATTTTTTGACTGAATATAATGAAAATGGGAGGGGAAAAAATACAATAAAAATTGGGGATACTGTTAAGCAAAAAATACTGCCTTTAATACAGACAGTGATTTGAGTATCAAATACAACACTATTGCCTGGAGGTAAAAAAAAAGAAGGACTGATAACGCTAATAAGCTGCTAGCATTGGATACACTTAAGTTGCACGGCACATTCATTAATTTTACTTGAAAAACACCGAGGACGAAAACAGGATGAGAATTAAAAGAGAAAAATCCTGTGTGAAATTTGAGAAAAATTTTAGTTGACCAATAATACAAACAGATACTGTATGCTATATTGTACATCCATGAATGTGGGCCTAGACTATAAAATATAGTATGCATCAGTCTACTACAAGACTTTTCAACCGTGGAAAAATTTTAAAAATTTGATAAAAATACATGCGGAAGTAATAAAAAAATTCATTACTCTGCTGCCATGTCTTTGGCAATCTCTTGATTCCTGATATGGTCAATATCAGGAGATTTTCCCGGTAAAAGATTAAAGCTAAAAAAATTATAATATTCTATTTAGACTGCAGGACAAAGCTAATACTTACGAGAATTCTTCTTTCAGGATGTATTTTTTGGAATCTTTAGAACGAGCAAGTATGACAGGTTTGTCCGTAGGGACAAAGTCAAGTCCATATTCATTTAATTCGTGTTGGAAGTCATCTTTGGCACTGATGGCAAATGTGAAGTCATCCTTGAAGTTCTGGGCAACTTTCAGGATTCTATTACGCCAGTAGTTGGATCCTGCAAATAGAAAAACAAATAATGAGAAGATATGGGACTAAGTCTGACAAATGATGTTAGAAATTTTAATTTTTTTTTATTCCCTGACATCTCCTGAATTTTTCTTGTTTTCCAGGAAAAATTTCTCCAATAAAACCCCAAAATGTTCTCTCACTTTGTTCTAGATTTATTAGAAAAACAAAGTTTGTCTTCTAAGTTCTAAGTTCAACATTTTATAATACATCAACCATTGTATAAAATAAACCATTTGATATTTTGTTTCATTTTTCAAAGCTGAGTCAACAAACTAAGAATTTAAAAATAACTGGATATCTGAGCAGAAAGAGAATGAATTTCCTGATGAATTCCTGGTTTTTCGATAATTAAGTCATAATGAGCTTTGAATTGAAGTTCTTGAAACTTACATTCCAAAGGAGCATAAACTTTCTCTGAGCAATAATCAACAGAGAAAGCAGCTTTGAATTTTTTTCATTCTTAGGAAGTGTTCTCACTTTCCGGAAAAAAATTGAAAGAATGCGTTTTGTTTTCACTGCCAAAAAATTGCATAAAAAAGAGCACTTTTCTGTCTTTTCTTGTGTTTGGTTTCATAAGCATGAAGTAATATTTTACAAAATGAAAAATATTAAAAAAAAAAGGAGTTTAAATTGAAATATTTCTTGATGTCTGAAGGCCACAAAGTTGTGGATTTTCTCACACCGTGGGCGAGCCAAGACTTTTGCTTAGCCATTTTCGGCACCCCTCTGGCATTTTTCAGGATTACTAGCTTACCTTTGGGATTCTTGACGTAGTCTACAGCATAGTAGGCAATGACATATGGTGCTTTGAATTCATCTTGATTCTCCCTAGTTCTGTGTCCCACTAGTCCATGCCTGAAAATTTTAAAACAAAGTTGTATATAATTACTTTGTTCTTAGCTTCAAGTGAAAATGTTAGAAACTTTGAATTCTGTCCTACTCGCAAATAAACAAGTTCGAAGTCTCAATTTTCTGCGGAAAAAAATCTGATGAAGGGTCAAAACCCAAATCATTCATTGAGAGGCTTGGAGGACAAGACTTGTAAGTGGAGTTCTTGCTATTTCAAAAAACACAAGTTTAAAGTTTCAAAATTACATCAAGCCTTATGGTAGAAAGGAAGTTTAAACTCATTTTTTGAAGCTTTGAAGTAGGCTTTTAGTCGTAAATTTTACTTGGAATATACTTTCTTACTAGTTTTAGTTGAGTTAATGAATAACTCAATTTTTTTCAAAAACTGCACTTATGCGCCTTGTCCTCTAAACCCCTCCATTGATCTGCATATGTTTTAAACAAGTTTTGAGCACTCAGATTATACTGAACTTGCCTCTTGAGAGGCCTTGCGACTATAGAAGCAAAATACTGATCACTTGATGCAAAAAAAAATTGTAATTAGATGAAGCGTTACGCGTACTTGCGAGTTTGACATTAAAAGAAAAATTATGACTTACAAGTTGGATGAGATCCAGGCCATGACTTCAGCATCATTGTCTTTGCCGCTGTAGGTGACAGTGGGTTCTTCAAATTTGTTCTTCAAATGAGGTGCACGGAAAATGATGATATGGTCACTGAAAGTCAAAGCATTTTTTATTAACGTAAACCTGAATCGAATTGTTCTCCTTTGCAGCATATAAATCAGCACGTTTTTTAAAGCATCACATTGAAAGAATAGGCACTTGAAAAGAAGAGCGTTGCAGAGAGATAATTAGCTAATGACATCCACTGGTGTAATAAAGATGGAAATAAAGAGCGTGAAATGACTGCAGGTAATTAAGCTCCACAAGAGTGTTGCCAAATTTTCCTTTTTTCGTCTTACAACGGTCATGAGAGTGAGAAGAAAAAACCTTTGGCGTATGCAAAGTGCAGTCCCTTCAAATTGCATCAATTCTGAACCTATTAAGATAAAGTTCCCTTTATTTCTGTCACAAAATTAAACATTGAATCGGTTGATTTTAGATGCAGTTTGGCAAACCTTAGCTAAAACAAAGTTGGCAACTGTTTGCGAAGTTTCTCTAATGATGCTGAAAAATTAAGAAACAGAGGCAGAACATAGGAACTACAATACTGATTACTGAGCTCATGGAGTCTGCTCATGGCAGCATTTCAAAATTAATTCTCAAAAATTAATTTTTTGCAGTGAAGCAAACTAACGTCTATTGTATATTCTTCTCAAAATTCAAGCTATCAAAAAGATGTGGAAAAGTTTATTTGCTGTCTAGGTATTACAAAAAAAATTCTAATAGAGGTATTGTCAGCTACACTTGGCACTTGTTCGTATTCAGTTTGCAAGCAACCGCGATGCAGTTGTCCAATAGGAATAAAGGATTAACTGCGCTCTTGATCGGGCTGTGTTCAATCCTCGATTGCTTGCAAGCAGAATGTAAACAAGTGCCAACTTGGCAGACAACACCTCCGGGATGACTCATCTGTTAGTATCACCATGAATCTAATCATTTGATTTTCATCAGAATTTTTTATCCATTCAATATCCTGATTTGTAAAGGAATTTGTAACCACTCCAAACATCCCAATTATTTACCATCAGTTGCAAGTTAAGCTAAACTGCCATTCTAGCTGATTGCTTGATGTTTATTGATATTTGGTTTTGTTCATTTGAAAAAAAGATGAAAAGTGGAAGAAAATTAGCAACGCCCCTTATTCATATTTAAATTTATAGATTTTGTTTAGCTATCAGTGCATTGAAAAAAAATAGGTAAAGAAGACTTTTCTAAGATTTAAAAATTCCAATTTTAAAAAATGTTTAACTGCTTTTCTAGTAGAAAAATATCTAGAACCACTGAAGAATAAAAACCTGTTATGCAGGCAGACAAGAATAATTTATCTTCAATTCTGATCATTAAGACAAAAAGAAAGCAGAGAACCAGAACAGTATCTTACCTAGCCTTCTGTTCCTCAAGCACCTTCGAGTTAGACGTGTGAGCAAATCGGTACTTCTCCTTTAACTTATCAGCCAACTTGAGGAAGACACCCTTGAGACCACTTTCCTTGGCAAAGAATCCAATAACAGCATGTTCGTCCTTGCTGATGAAAGCCTTCAGATCCTCGACAGATGTGAGTTCCTTAGAAGCAGGCTCAACCTGAGATCTCATGTACTTGACAATACCATGGGCTTCTCTTGGTCCGTTGTATTCTTTCCACATTTCTCCATTACGGAAGATCTTGAGGGTTGGATAGCCACTGACTGAATGCTTGTTGCAAGTCTCTTTTCCTGCTTCTGTGCAGTCCACCTACCAGGAGAAATTCATACTTGTTCTTAGCGTAATTTTCAAGATAAATTATAATTCTGAAATATGATGTGTCACAGGGGCTCAGAAAATGTTAGAGCATATAAAAATGTTTTGGTTTTTCAAGACAAGTGTAGGTACTTGATCTTGAGGAACCAGTGGGAGGAACGTTACATAAAATAGTAACGAAATCTAGCTGGCGCCAAATTTCTAGATATTCCCTACATAATCCTTCAGATGCTAGAAATACGAAGAGATTTTATGTTTTTGACACTTGAGGAAACCATGACTTTTAATCTTAATGTGTCACACATTTAGGTTATGAGTGGATGCTAAAAGAGCTGAGTTGAGTAATCTTCCTTCATGAAAAAGTTTACTTCATTCCGCTTGCAGTTCAATGAAGGCTAATTTTATTGTTGAATTCCTCATTTCCTCAAGAGATAGCACGAGTTTTTAGGTGCCAAAAATTAAGTGAGGTTCTCATTGAACATAAAAGTTAGGTAGATCGTATCATATAAGTACATACCTTCGCTAGAGTGATAGGTGGGTCATTGCCAACAAGTAGAGATGCCGCTTTGGTATACTCCGGTTTCAGTTTCTTACAATGTCCACACCTAAAATAAAAAGAAAGCAAAAGATTTTGCTACAGTACTGATCGTAAAATAATTTAATTATAACAAATCAAAAGACTCAGAATTTTTTAGGAATACCTCGTGGTCCTCAGTATGGAGCTCAGTTTTAAGATTTCAGTTGGGTGGTGTTATAAGTAATTGTTGTAATGATGGACAGTTGTATAGGTTTACAAAATTAGCCAAGTTCAAACCAATATAGGAAATTCATGGAATTGAACAAATACAAGGAAGATCTGCTTAGAAAGACAGACTCATGTAGCTTCCGTAACCTACTCTGTTTACTGAAAGAAATCCCCTTTCATTGCTTACTAAATAGGTTTGCTATGAGGCTTGCATCCGTGCACTTTCTCACCCCACTCCGAGTAAAAGGCAGAACTGATTAGATCCAACTATCAGCAACATCAGAGATCTCTTCCCTCAGGTAAACCATACTTCAGGAGTCAACAGATAACTTACAGGTGAAGAGATGATCCTCGAAATGAATATATTTCTGCTTACTCTTAGAATTGAAATACTAATTAAGTACGGTAGATAAGGAATGAGAAATCGTGTTCCGGTTCTTACTACCAAGGCAAGCTTGAGAAATGTGCATCGAGGTGCTAGACTTGACATGAGAAAAGAATCAATGAATTTTTCCAGCCAATTGCAAGGCATGGGAGGTCTTGAGGAGACTCAGGTGCGTAAATGGGGAAAGTGTCAACTGAGTGATTATGAGGTGATACTGGATAGACAACGGACAAAAAGACTAGGTGAGAAATATAAGATGCTGGAGCTTAAAATGACAAATTCACTGACGATCAGTGAGAAAGAACGAATGACAAGGCAGCTTGAAGATGCGATCAGCTTAGGATGAAATTTAAGAAATAATTACCATGGTGCATAGAACATGACAAGCACAGTCTCATGTTCCTGTATCCTAGTTGAGAAATCACTATCCGTTAAATCTAATTCTTCTTTACAACTAACGTAAACTAGTAGCACAGAAAAGACAAAGGCCAAAACGAGGGACCTCATGATTAATTTTAACAACCCGATATTCGCAAAAAGTAAGTAGTGACGGAGCCGGCTTCGAAGAATCTTCCAAATTTCGGCGGATGATAACCTCTCTTGAGCTGAACAAAAAAGACGTGTCGCCCGAATATGTGATATTGTGGCGAACTCTGATTGGCTGTCGTGTGGCCAATTGGAAACATTGTGTATGACTCAGTGTTGCCGCTTCACCGCTTCCGTGCAGGATTTCCTGGAAGAGAAACTTTTTAAAGTGGCACTTTAGACGAGGGGGGTAAGGGGAGAAGGGAAATAGTATAATCATCTGAATAAACCGTCTCTGATAAATTGTTCCACGTAAATGATCCACGTAAAAGACGAAAATGGTGGAACTGTGATCGGTAGGTGTACACCTACACCAGTTTTTATTGACACATATAGATGAAAAATCAGCTGCATGAAAGTGGATTAAATCTTAAAATTTTGTGATATTTTCTTAAAGTTAGGGTCTCTCTGCTATCCTTCATTTTTTTTTTTTTTTTTTTTTTTTTTTAAATTTTGGGGACAGCACTTGATTAATATTCCAATTTTGAAGCTTCTGAAAATACTACGAACAGCTCATAGACACAGACACAGCAATTCTCTGGTCTCTGCATACACTTCTGCAGCATACACTTTTATGCGCGTCCTGCAGAAAATATATTAAAATTATAAACAAACGGTCAGCATAAAACTCTGTGAAAAATGGTGTGGCGCCAAGAAAATCAAAGCAATGATGTGTTTCAATAGAGACAAATAAAAAAAAGAATATGAATAGGGAAAAAAAATTGTTCTTTTTAATTCCTGTAAATTTTAACAAGCAATCTTTCTTTTTTGATTAGGTGACAGCTTAGAGTTGTGTTCTATTTTCGACAACAATGGACTAGCTGCAGTCACTTTACAGCAGTCTACAGCAATCCTTAAGCTGAGCATGATCTAATTACACGTTTGACACAGCACAATGAAATACAGTCTATGTAGACAGAGGCTTGTAGAGTTATAGACAGCTAAAATAATAACACAGGTTAGAAAAGAGCAGATTGTTTTATTATTTCTGTTCTCATATCTTTAAAAACAATCATCGAATGAGTAAAACAGGGAAGATAGAAAAAAGTACAGTTTAGAAGAATATAATAACTTAAAATTAAAAAATCTTGGCAGATGAACGTTTTAAGGTACAAAAATTCGACTTTACAGAAATCTGACAACAGAATACACTGCAGAAGGATGTGTAAAATTAGAGGTAACCAATTCAGGGATCGATTCAAAAATCCATTTTAAAATTCTAACAAAGTTCGCAAATGTAACCAAAAAAATAAGCTTGTTAATGCTGAAACTGAATTTAAGATAAGTTTCTCGTCAACCTCACTCTTTGTGGAGACACATTTCATTGGCTTTTTTGAAATGTATAATATGTCACTGAGCTGAACCTGCCCTGTTGGCCATTTGGAAGCCCTAGATCGGACTTACATGCAACCACAAATCATCCTGAATATATTCAAGTGCACCCATTCCTCCAAGCAAAATTCGTCTTTTCTGGACGAATAAAGAGTTTTGGTATTGTTCTAAGATACTAATGGAAACAATTAAATTTTAAATGCTCGAGCATTTATCATACTTGCTTCTTTGCACAACCGATTGCTCAATTTTCAAATAACGGAAGACAGGGTTCGTTTTTCCACGGCCAATGACCATTACCTTTTAAAATAAAGAGCATCTTGGACATCACTCTCTCTCTCAAGGTAGCTCTGGCATGTATCCAGGATTTGCGATCTAAGTGTTTTTCCGTATGTTACATTTTGCAAGAAACACGATGGTGGAACTAATTATCCCTCAAATGAACTTAAAAAAAGCTCTCAAAGTTATGACCGCAGTGAAGGAGTTTTCCCTTGTTACCCTGAGAGACCACCTCACTATCCAGTCAGACTCTTCATGCACAAACAGGGAGCAAATACATCAGCAGGGTTGCAGTGCTTTCAACCTTGGAGTCCCCAAACAAAAGGGCGACCCTGCGACCCTACTAATGTATTTGCTCCCCACCTGTGAATAAGAGGTTTGACTGGAGATGGATTTAGACTCTCAGCATAGCTTGGGGGAATCCCTCCACTACGTGTCCAACATTAAGAGCTTTTTTGAGCTTGATAGTTACTTTCAGAGAAAACCATTGGCACCATCAAGTTTCTCACAGAATTTACAACCAAAAAAAAACTTAAATTGCAAAGCCCTGATGCATGTAAGAGCTCCATTTGACATTGATGGATTTCTTAAACACAAAAACTATTATTAAAATCATTGCTTAAAGAATTTCACTCCAAGAATAGGAAAATGCTTACTGAATGGAGGTAAGGCAAATTTGACTAAATGTACTATTATTTTAAAAATGATTAATGTTCTCCGGTCAATTTAAAACCTAACTCGATTCTGACAGTCTTTCAATTCGAACACTACATCTGCTACTGGATCTACTGGTATTTACAGATGGTGTAGAGGGTCTATCGTCCGATAATTTTTCGATCACAACACTACATCTGCTACTGGATCTACTAGTATTTACAGATGGTGTAGGGGGTCTGTCATCTGCTAATTTTTCGATCACATTGCTACATCTGCTTGAATTCACACCCGGAGTAGACGGTCTGTCATTCGGCAATTCTTCAATTGCATCACTACTCCGACCGTTACATCTACCGTTAACTGTTGGTGCGGAGGGTTCAGACTCTGCATCTTCTGGTCCGCTCTGGTTGGCCTGGTGCACTTCAGCTCTTACTTCTATCCTTTCCATTCTGACACTACACCTGCTAATATTAAGGAGTTCTGGTTCTGGCTGGGGTTCTTGTTCCGTCCTTTCTTGGGCTCTTGCAGCGTTTTCTTGCTCTTCTAAAAGCTGGAGATCCAACTCCACCTCTTGAGCTAATTCTTTGTCTGCAGCTAATAGAGTTTTCAACTGAAAATATAAGAGAGAAAGTCAGCAACCAAGAGTCTAACTCCTCGGAAGCAGCAGGTGGAGATTGCAACAGGAAAAACACAAATGAAAGTTGAAAACCAGCAGTTTATATTCCTTAGTGTGTGGTAATTTTTAATATCTTAGGATTCTAGTGGTTTCCTGAGTTACGCTGAATGCAGTGGCATGGCGTGAATAATCGATTATCGATATCTCGCCATTTGAAGCTACGGTAAAGAATCGATTGCTAAGGTGTTCGCTGCGAACGCCCTGATAATCGATCTTTTTCCATAGGTGTAAATGGCATAACGATCGATTTATCGCAATTCACGCCACGCCACTGGCTGAATGGTAATTTAATATTTTCAAGGGAAAAAAACCTTTTATCCTTCACCATTACGTCTACCAAAAATTCAGCTGATTGAATCTATGTACTTCATTAGGTATCTTAGTATGATTCTTCTTATTTTCAAGTTTTTTTTTTTTTTTAAATCAGATGCCAGGTGCCTCTTTTTTTCTTTTTTTTTTTTCCCAAGCAAAATATTTGAATTGTTGTAGGCGTCTTTATCCACAGTGAACACAGGTACTAACTACATTCACACAAAATGTTTTAAAATTAAATTGAATAGAATTATAAGGAGGTACAGAAAATGCCCGATTAGGCAAATCTTGAAAAAAGTGGAACATTTCACCGGGCCATATTGCTATAAAACTGCATGTCCGGCGTTTTGGGACTTCCTACATCCCTAGAACAGGGGTCTAGAACTCTATGCTGAGACTGGACCCAAAGCCAAACTCTATATAAGTCCACGCCAAATAAGTTTACGCACTTTTTTAGACTGCGACAGAAGTTCGGCTATTTTGACTCTTCCATTTACTTTACGATTAAAAGTGACGTCAGACAATCTGTCGCAGTCTAAAAGTGCATAAACTTATTTGGCGTGGACTCTATCAATTTGTCCTCTGATCTATTTTGATAGTATACCAAAAGTTGATATAATACCACAATATTTTGGAGGCTGAATTGCATTCAGTTTTGAGCCAATAAAGGGCACAAAATAACATTTTGATCCCACAGTTCCAAGTCTCAAACCTGAAAGGTTAAAACTATGAATAACTTTTCCTCAGAAATACCTTTTTGAAATGCATACTTCCACCCATCATCGTATTGTGTAGTGGAAAAGTTAAAATTTTCCTCCAGTACTCCTCTGAGTGATGTTGCTAACGTTTCAGTCTTGAGTTTATTAATGCTAAGGTAGTTTTTTTCCCCCTCCTTCCTCAACCCTTTTGTATTTTTACTGATATTTCCATGTAAATTTGTTACTGTTACTGCCCTCTTTAGAGGTGTAAATGGCCTTAGATGCTAAAGCACCGCTTTAAAATAAAATTATTTTACTACTACTACTACTTTCTTTCTTTCTTTCTTTCTTTCTTTCTTTCATGTTACCGATGTACTACTACTACCTTAATTTCCATGTAAATTTATTACTATTACTGCCTTTTTTAGAGGTGTAAATGGCCTTAGATGCTAAAGCACCGCTTTAAAATAAAATTATTTTACTATTACTACTACTTTCTTTCATGTAAATTTATTACTATTACTGCCTTCTTTAGAGGTGTAAATGGCCTTAGATGCTAAAGCACCGCTTTAAAATAAAATTATTTTACTACTACTACTACTACTACTACTACTACTTTCTTTCTTTACCTTCTTTAGAGGTGTAAATAGCCTTAGATGCTAAAGCACCGCTTTATAATAAACTTATATTACTACTACTACTACTACTACTACTACTACTACTACTACTACTACTACTACTACTACTACTACTACTACTTTCTTTCTTTCTTTCTTTCTTTTTTTTTTCTTTTTGTGGAAAAAGACAGGCATTGAAAATTGGAGAGCTCTTTTGATGTTGAAACTTACCTCATTCTTATAATCTTTCATGAGTTCCCTTGTGAAGAGCATCAACTCATTCAATAACAACTTTTTCTGCTGAAGGACTTTCTTTAGTCGAATGATGATAGGGACAATGAATTCAACAGCCTGCGAGCGAACAGCCTATGAAAAAAAGAACAGAAAACTGTTACAAGATCATAATGATGTGTGTAGAGAAGAGATTATACTTGAGAGAACAATGTTATCTGTAAAGCTAACTATTAAATTATTTACAATTTGTTCAAACTTAACTGTGGCAAATTGAAAACTTGGAGAAAAGCTGACCTTTTTGAGACACTTTCTACTCAATTGTGGTGATTAAGTGAAAGAAAAAATTTAATTAATTGAAAATTTTCAATTTTTCCTTATCAGAATTTCAGAACAGCGCTTTTGAACACTCTCGAAAAAAAAAAAATGAGATAAATTTTAGGAAAAATAATTATCATGACAAATTATTCCAAGAAAGCACAAATGATGTCCTATTTTTGTGCAATAGAGTCTTTGCCTTAAGAGTAAAGAGAGGTGGCTATTTATAATGAATTAATTCTCTAAAATAATACAATTTTCTCCCAATAATTTTGATTTGTTTCGAGATCATAACCACTCATGTTAATGTCACCTACTTGAGATCATATGTTGGTATTTATGCATGAATGCTCAAGTTCAAGGATAAAAATCAGTGATGGTTCGGTAAACGTCAAACAGATAATTTGGAATTAAAACTACTTGTTACAGGTCCAGGCAAATCTAAAACTGATACACGGGATGACATACTGATTAATTGAGTGACTTTTCATACCTGGTTCAAAACTGCTTTGGTGACAGCGATTTCATATTCTTGTCTCTCCTCTCCGAGATCGTCATTTTCTGGCTCCTGCATTGGCACGGGCCTCAATTTAATTTCTTCCGAACACAATACATGCAAAGCATCTTTCAAAAGTATAATTCCTTCATTTTCAAGTTTGATTTTACCATCTGCCACACCATCTTAAACAAAAAAGGTATAGAGATTATGTTAAAGAGCTAAAAGATATGCACTGGCCCTGCCCAGCAATATGAAAGGTAACATTCTCACTTGGCACTTTTTGACACTTGAGAATGATTTCCTAGGAGATTACAATCATTGTGAAAAAATCATCCTTGACTTAATAAAGTAGCTTGGATTAATTTTCTTCAGGATGGCAAATTATTTGAACGTATTTCTATCAAACGAAACTATGTGCATTAAGACATGAGCCCTGAGACCCATAAGAATACATGCATAACAGGGCTCACGTCATAATGCACATAGTTCCGTTTGACAGAAAGTTGTCCATATCACAGTATTTTCACGCCGTTTTCATGACCCTGTTTCATGAGATATTTCCCATTTAAAAACATTCTTCATTGAATTGTTCTCTAAAATTAGTTTTCTTTAAGAAGAGAGCAACCTCCTTAACTTTGAATGTTACATTTCTGGTGTTAGTTCCAAATAGTATGAACAAGGAACAATTGGATTACATTTTTCAATAAGGAATCACTGTCTCTGGCCCTTTTATAAAAGCACATATCTGTATAAGGAAACTAAGGGCACATATGTTATTTCTAAAATGAGCCAGAAATAGTGGTTCCTTATTGCAAAATGTAATCCAATTTGAAAGCAATTAATCTGCTGCACCATTTTATCAAACAACAATTATAATTTATGCAGAATTGCAGAAAAGTGAAAGACTCTTAGGAGAAAATAATTAACAACGGTTCAGCTGGCAACCAAGTTTGAGCTTTTAGCGATCCAGGTTTGAATCATTCGCACGTTGATTTTTTTGTGGGCGTCTAATAACGTTTTGATGAGCAACCACAAATTCTTCAACATGGACAGACAAACAAACATGCTCTATTCCAGTCATCACAAGTCAAATTAAGTCAACACTATGCACCTGTCTAAACAACAGAACTTACTGCTCTCGAAATCATGAATTGACACTTTCATTTATGGCCCATTTTTTAACGTTGATGGACCAGATATTCATGCCTGATTTCCGATTAAATTTTTTTTCAAATTTCCTTTAGAAAATTACTAGGCATCTGACCGAAAAGAAGAGAGTCAAACTATTGCAATGGACTATCACAAAAAACGTATTGATACGAAAATAGTAATAACAGATACTTCACTGTATTATTTAGCAACTAGGGGAAAGATATCCAACCTCTAAAAAATGTCAGATGCTTTTATCGAACTATTTTTATAGAACGCATTTTCAATCAGTCAGCAAATAAAATTATCTTTAAGCTCATGTTTTCTTTGGTATTTTGGAGAGGAGGTTACCAAGCTGATTAAAAGGACAACACGCACAATACTAGGAAATTTGACACAAACTAAATTTTGAGATTTTATGATATGATGCTCCTTGCGACCTCCTGATGAGTTTTTAAAACCGAACTTTCTACAGGCCAATCTTGAGAAAATCGGGTCTAAAGAGTGCATTTTTTGGCATTTGTACTTGCATTATCACTGGAAAAATGTAGGTAATTAAGGAGCAGGCCCTTCTTCTCTCATCTTGCGCCAGCCGGAGAGATAAGACTGCATGTCACCTCAGTTTAAAACGAAAAGCTCTGCATTGATTTACAATTAGCCACTTATTCGTAAGATAAGACATATTAAATTGCCAAAAAAGCACATTTTAAACCTAACTCTTGATTTTCTACTCATCAGTAGACAAAAGGTTTTTGTAAAAAAAGAAACTATCTAATTTTGTGGAATTATATGAGACAGATGTACAAATTTACCTAAAATATCCGCACAGAGCCTCATGAATATTTTCAGCCTGTGCTCGTCCGCAACATGCTCCAACATATATTTGTAGATAAAGTAACGTTTTCCTTGATTGGCCGGACCTTCCAATGAAAATACCTCCCTTTCACGGCTTGACATCTGCATTTTACAATACGCTGGATGATCCTGTGGACAAAAAAACGTTATTACTAAGTCTACGAAATTTAAAAAAAAAATACTGAACAGAAAAATTGTGTAAAACCTATTGTGATATAAATTACATGATAGAGAAAAATCATGATTTATGCTGATAACGGACAGCAATACCCCAATTTTGCAGCAACTTGTGACTAAGACCCTTGCTAGTTATCGAAACCATCACATAGATGGAAATTCATGGCATACGTGAGAGGTTATGGAACGTTCTCTACAAATTTATTGGAAAAAATGTTCGTTCAGAGGTCAGAACAAAGTGAAACTTTGCAACCAAGATACAGAGTTTTTAAGTTTTACTTCCTCTCATGTTAAGCTAAATCTATTAATCATAAAATATACAATGGACTTACATAATAAGCATTATAGTAGAAGAGGGATTCAACAAAATGCTGAATGATGAGAGACGGGTTATTTCGTAAAAAGTTGTTAACGAAACAATCGGAGATAACTTCTCGAATTTTCTCATTATCATCGTTGAGTCTACTGAGCAGGTGGAAGAAAACAGGACAACGTAGTTTTAGGTAGTCTTGCTGGATCAAATCAATTAGTAGCATCAGCGTAGTGGATCGGACTTTAACTTCGGGATCACATAAGCAAACACATATTTCTGGTATGAACTTTTCTACCATAGCTGTGTACCTGAAAAAGAGATTGAAATGCATTTTACCTTCAAATGATAACTTCAGGACTATTGAGCATTGTTACTAATTATTTTCCTAAAATTCTCGGGCCCATTGCAAGGAGGAAAAAGTACTCACCTGCAACTGTCACGCCAACGCATGCAATTTCTCGCGTTTCTTTGATTCATTAGATCTTTAAGAGATTTTCAAGGATTTCATTTGTAAATCTGATTTTGATTATTGGTATTTCTAACTTTGATTTCCCCTCGGATTAACATGGACTAAGTATTATTCTACCATTCTGTAACTTACAAGATTGGGACCACGTTTTTAGTGTTTTTTCCCCCTCTTAAATGTTAAACTGGGTGAGAAAATAAGCATACCGTATACAGAGATCTGCCAATGCTGTGATGGTGTTAATTTTTATCTGCGGCTCTCTCACACGGCGCAGAAGTCGTCCAAACAGAGGAACAAATTCTTTTGCAATCAAATCTGTCTGCAGGGCAAGACGCCCAAGGGTGACAACAGCCATTGCAGGTAGAAGTCCAGTCATGAATCTCATTCTTACATTTACACCTAAAAGGATTTTAATTAAAATTATTGGAATGCATGTGCACATACTAGGTTATTCCTTCAGTCAGTATTGATTAATGTGATAATTTTTGCTCTCAAAATTTCAACATTATTTAGTTTCTGCATCTAGTTACACTGGAAGAATCACTTCATCTAATTATTTTAGTTTGGTAGCGTTGCTTCCATATTTTCTGGAGAGAAGTTATGGGGATTTGATACTTTTGACAGATATTATAAAAAATCATTGAAAAAATGAATAATTTTATGTTTTTGTCAGATGTGCTGAAGCACGATATGAAAGAGTAGAGCAAGACTGTGTCTTAGTGAAATTGAAAATAAAGACCCGACTTACAAAGGAGGAGATTAAGTGTCCATATTTCATGACCTACGTAAAGTGAATTCTGAATTTTTAGTCCAGATACCAAGACATTTCTGATAGTGATCTCTTCTAGTGATTTTAATGTCAACATTAACTTAGAATGGAAAGTTAGGATAAGAGAAATAGTAACTTTACATACCGAAGGTAACGTCTACAAGGTTTGTAATGGAAGTGATTGCTTTTTCACTGATAGGTCGGCCTGTTGGCCAGAGTACTGCAACACACCCTAAAGTAAGAATACGACGACAAAGAAGTTCTTCGTCCACCTCTTCAACCGGAGTGTTTTTGTCCAATTTTTCTTCAATATACCGCTCACACTCCTGAAAAAATTATAAACTTAACGTCAATAATGTCAAGAGAATTAAGTCACGGGACATTTTTGTTTCTCTAAAAAAGGAGGGGTTTCTTAGCAAATTCTTGTGAGTGAGCTATCAGTACACCTTGTCCTGAAGTACCTTTACAGTCTGATGAGGCTGCTATTTTTTACAATGGCTCCCCCTGGTCAAAATATAGTTGCCTGGTATGTCTGTCCATTGCATTGTTATTCCTGTAAGCTGATTTACATGGTAATAAAGCATTTTCTCCAGTTCTGAATATTACCATACTGCCAGTAAAACTACTAATATTCTGATCATTTATAATTTTTGAAGGAAATATTATAACAGCTTACTGAAAATTTAATAAGACGTCTTCACGCATAAGTAGAATTTCAGAGGACATTATGGTTTAAATTTTGTTCTGTTTTAGATTTTCTTGACGAAAAATTAATTTAACAGCCGATAATCATTATTTATTTATTGTCTTTTTAAAATAGCTAGGGAAACAAAGCATGCACTTGTCATTTAACTCAATACATGAACTTAAGAGATAAAAGATTTAATAGAAATTCTCCACTCAAAATTTTTCCAACGAAGGATATTGATTGGAGAAAAGAAAGAATACAGATAGGTAAAAAATTGAGAATCAACTACTGGACTAAATTCTACACCATAAGATTAATACACATCCCTCTCAGTGGCAAGAGAGAAAGATTTGTTTCGCACTCAACGGTGAAAAGCACAGGTAAAAATGTGGCCACTAATATCAAACAATAGAGAATTTTCAGCTGTCTGAAATTGGATGAATTTCGTGTTTAAGTGGAAACTACTGAGTCAACTGAACTTGAGGGTACCCTCGATTCATGAATTGAACAATTATTAGAGAAAATATGACAAAATGATCTAATCTGCTGAAATACGTGTGTTTAAATGGGGAATGCTGCCAGATGACGTCACTAGGCGGTGCATTTTCTCACTTTTAATGCTATTTTTATACTATTTCCCACATCAGAAAAAAATTGTAAAAAATACTGTGACATCAGCTCTTTAAGCACTTTCAGATGAAGTAATAAAGAATTTGCATGCAAATTCTCCATTTAGTAATTATTTCATCTGCCCCACAAAAACAGTCCCGACATGTTCGAAGACACAAAAGCGAAAAATTATGGACCAAAACATGATGCCTTCTTGGCTGAGGGCCATGCCTGACCAAGACCTTTCAATACATGCACTGTTAATAGTCTTAGCCCAAGTACCAGATCAGGGGCGGACTGGGACGAAAAAAGTCACCGGGAAATGTACAGCCAAACCGGCCCACAAACCAAATGGGGGTCGGGGGGACACTCCACAGAAAAAGGGGGGTCCGGGGGCCCTCCCTCGGAAAATTTTGAAAAATTAGCACCTCGAGAAGTCATTTTTAAGCGCGAACATACGCAATTAGAGTCACAAAATATTTGCAAAGTTGGCTGCGACCGTGGAGCATAAAGCAGCCCTGTGGAACAATGGAGGCCCGTGGAGCTTCACCCTATTTTATGAGAAAGTGACAGTTCACTAAGATTTTATCCCATTTCTCCACATACATTTAGACTATGGAGATAAAAAAAGAAAAAGTGAAAGAAATTAGTAGTAGTATTAATAGTAGTAGTAGTAGTATTAATAGTAGTAGTAGTAGTAGTAGTAGTAGTAGTAGTAGTAGTAGTAGTAAGATAAGTTTATTTTAAAGCGGTGCTTTAGCATCTACGGCCATTTACACCTCTGTGTGTTCACATGGAAACCAAGGTTACGTCAGTGAAAATACAAAAGGGTTGAGGGGGAAGGTTAAGTTTTAAGAAAGAAAGAAAGAAAGTAGTAGTAGTAATATAAGTTTATTTTAAAGCGGCCCAAAATACCAACCGGCCCACCGGGATTTTTCCCGGTATTCCCGCCTGCCAATCCGCCCCTGTATCAGATAGTAAAATGCCTTTGTTCTGAATTGCTTTTGAAATTAAAAAGCTAACCTGAGTGATGGATACAGCTAAGTTTCCTTCACCATTAGATATTGATCTAATATCAGCAAGCAGTGCTAGGATGTCGAAAGATTGTAGAATGAGCTGATGAGGTATAGAAAAATTTTTCAGAGCTGGCAGCAGCTCTGACACAAGATTATTCTGCGTTTCTTTGCTAAGTTTCTTGCAAGTAAATTTCAATGAGTCCAAAACCATTTGACCAACATATATATCAGCCTGGAAGAAGCAATTGAAATTCAGTATGAGACAAAACATTCTAAAGTAGGTAATATCACAACAAAGACGAGTTCAGGGCAGAATATAGTTTCATTAAAAACAAAACTGTATGCTCTCCATTGACAAAAATGCCTTTGACTGATACTAAAAGATACAGGATAGTGAAATACTCAATTTGAAAGAAATTTGCCCAAAGCACTGATATCCCTTTTCTTGCAGAAAGTCTCACTTGATGATTAGTGGTCTGACATATCCAAAGTTTCAAATGATAATTATCCTCTAGTTTTTAACCAAATGAAGCTACCGATTTCTTGGATGATAAAACACACAAGACACCTTTATAATCTTTGAGACTTAAGGAATAAAATTACACCAAGATCTTATTTTCAAGGGTAAGAGAAAAGACAGCAAAATAATACCTCTCTATTAGCATGGATGTAAGTAGCGTAGTACGTCATTATGAAATTTGGATTGTTGATTTGGTGGTACTCCGTCATGCAAACCACAAATAACCATGCGTTTGCGTTATTTTCTGTTCCAATATGAGTTTGAAGAGTATTAATCAATGCTTGACTTAAGAAGAAAGAAAAAACATATACATTAGGCCAAAAGTAGTAAGTTTTAGACAAAAGAGGACACAGGAATACGAATGTTTCTACTTAAACTTTGAGGGCCAAAGTTGAGTTATCAATCAAGTGCTAATGGGTCAGAGGCACCCATTTATTTCAAATTCACTTTCTGAACGTAAGGAATGTACTTCACTACTAGAGATTTTTGCAGATTTTTCAATCCTAAAGGGAAAAGAAACCTTGTCTTGAAAATGCCAAAAATGGGACCTATTTTAAACAATACTTTAGGTGGGTTCTGGTGACATAGCCAGGCAGGGAAAGAGCGTTTGCTGATTGACTGAACTCCGCTTGAGGCATCGCTTTGCTATGTCAACTTAACCATCATCTTTAGATTAATCATATTTTAATAAGCTTTTTCTCCCCTTAGAAATAATTTTTTGAACTTTTTCAAGGACTCAAGGTTTTTTCAAAAACTTTTACATAAGAGATTCTATCCTAGAACCCTGCAGGAATGATCCGCGATGCTGCATAATTTGGAACATTAACCTGTAGTAAAAGATGCGCGCTTTAAATCCTCTGCCTCTGCCATTAGCAAACTCCGTTTAATAAATGTTAACATTCCTCTTCGTAAAGGCCCTAAATAATGGAAGCAAGCCAAGGTATCAATTACGCAGCAACAGTCTCTCTTAAAACACTTCAAAGCAAAAAGGTCACAATATAGCAAATGGATATCCATTACTCTTTAAAAAATGGCTAAATTGTTACATGGAAGGAATTTCGTTCAGAGAAGCGTAAAAAGTAAACAATCATCACTCAGATGAGAGAATTTTCTTCGAAAATATTTTTATCATTTTACTCAATAAAAGAACTTACTTAAAGACATTAGATGCAACCCAGTGAGCACAGGCAAAGCGTAAGTACTTGCGGAGATTAAATTCAGAAATGAGACTCAATATTCGCCAAGGCAGCTGTGTCGGAGGAGTAATAGACTGATTATGCGGCGCCATGTTGTCAATTAGTAGTTGAGCAAAAACCTGAAAAATTGAATGAAACGTTATGTAACTTTTATTAACATTTTTTGTTGATAAGCTTTCACAATTCTGATTTCATGGCTTAAAAGAACTAAAATTACCATGCTCCAGATTTGGAGTAGAGTATATATTCATTACACTGTGACAACTCCAAAAATTGTGAGTGTTGCTGCAGGATGGTCATGCTATAAATAATTAAAAAATAAACCAAGATTTGAGACATTGTAGTCCTTTATTGTGTTTTTGAAGCTACAACCGACACAGCCAGTTTCTTTAAATTAAAATAGAATACTATACAGGGGTGCAATTTTGCAATCCTAGGATTGCTACAAACTTGTGGCAAATTTTAAGGTCATGAGACACTTAAAAAAAAGATTTCTTTTTTTCTCCTGACCACCTGTCTTTTAGAAAGTAGGGAACAGTGCACATTTTACCGTGAAAATGAACATTTTGCCATGGAATTTGCTGTTGACTTGGAGACAAAATCAAAATATGGCTGGGAAGTAAAAACGCCCAAACGGTGCTTCAGAACTTTCAACACCTGTGATTATACCTACCTACTTTTGCAGGCTCTTTTATTTTGAACCAGAGAATCTCTTTTGAATCTCTTTCCTCTTTTAATGAAAGAGCTCGTTCTTGGTTTCAAAATTAATATTATTACAAAAATTATAAATATCACCAAAATTTTTGAAAATATGGTTTTCTTTTCTTCAATATAGAACTGGGGTAAATTAAAATCCCAGTTGTGATTAACAAGGGGAGCTTCCCAAGTGTAACCGGAATTTCGAGTTGAAATTTCGCATGAAGACACTAGAGATGATTTTAGGGATGCCGTATTTTTTTGTTTTTTCGAATGGGGTCGGGAAAGCCCTCAAAAAAAGGGCTAAAGATGCGGAAAAAACGCGTGCGCTAGCGGCACAAGGTAAACATAGGTGATAGAGGCTCTCCATCCTTATCAGTTCCGCATGGCCAAACGGTAGCGTGCTCGCCTCGCAGGCGGGAGGTCGTAGGTTCGGATCCTGACTACAACCCGTAATTTTATATTACTTTATGCTTGTTTATTTTTCACTTACTTTATTTTGCACCATTCTCTCCGCAAACCGACTTATGAGGTAGAACACGTAGTGACTGAAGATTTTTACATACCTATGCTGATAAAAACTCGAAGTTTCCTCGGATTGAAACGTTATATCTAATTGAATAAACAAAACACTCTAAAACTTACCAAATTTCGTCGCCAAGCTGAATTTTCGAAGTAGGTATCAGTCGAATCTGTATCTGTATCTGACTGATACTCCGGAAATTCAGCTTGGCAACGAAATTTGGTAAGTTTTAGAGTGTTTTGTTTATTCAATTAGATATAACGTTTCAATCCGAGGAAACTTCGAGTTTTTATCAGCATAGGTATGTAAAAATCTTCAGTCACTACGTGTTCTACCTCATAAGTCGGTTTGCGGAGAGAATGGTGCAAAATAAAGTAAGTGAAAAATAAACAAGCATAAAGTAAAATAAAATTACGGACTGTAGTCAGGATCCGAACCTACGACCACCCGCCTGTGAGGCGAGCACGCTACCGTTTGGCCTTGCGGAACTGGTAAGGATGGAGAGCCTCTATCACCTACGTTTACCTTATGCCGCTAGCGCACGCGTTTTTCCGCATCTTTAGCCCTTTCTTTGAGGGCTTTCCCGACCCCATTCGAAAAAACGAAAAAATACGGCATCCCTAAAATCATCTCTAGTATCTTCATGCGAAATTTCAACTCGAAATTCCGGTTACACTTGGAAAGCTCCCCTTGTAAGTTACAATTATAATACAGTAAAAGCTCCCTCAGCCGAACTACAGTTAAGACGAAATGCTGCTTTAGTTGAATTTTTTTCATTCCTTAGACATGTCTGTAAGGCGGTGCAGAATTGGTTAAGACGAATTGCCGAAATTTGTTTCGATTCCTACACAATCCGACTCAGCAAGCTTTCACTGTACATATTGATGATTCGCCATCTGGTATTAGAAATAAATTTATATTTCTTCTGTCTATTGATATTATTTTTCATTCAATTATGATAGTTATACCCTCTTTTTCAATAATTGTACTACATTTTACAAAGGACCCTCAGCATCAAAATTCGATAAAAATTCCTTGATTGAAAGAAAATTCTTGAAGGCAATTAAGTACGATTATTATAAAAATTAACAAAAAACACTTACTTCAAGCACTTTTTCTTGAGCCTTTTGCTCAGTGTCAAATAAAAGAGGCAAGACTCCTTGTACCCAATATTTACAGACTAATTCGTTTTCAGGATAGCGCTCCAAAAGAGTTGTCATACACTGAGTCAGAGATTTTCTGATTAACACAGATCGATCGCGGCAGTTTTCTGTCAAAACCTGTGAGGAAATAAACCATAGATTAAATAATTTCAAGGCAAAATTAAGAGAGTCCGTTCATATACCTATTGTTTGGCACTTCACAAACCTCTCAGTCATGTTCAACTGCAATTTTCTTGACTTTTCCATGATTAAATGGCCTTTATTCTGAGACAAAAAATTTGCGGATGGAAATTAATCAGCTGCTTGAATTGAATTATGAAAGACCGATACAGCTCTTACATGCACTTTTTCTGTCATTAGGCTAAAGGATTTCTTTATCATGAGAAGTTACTGCAATATTTCTGATTCATACAAAGTTTTAGACATGGTTAAAATTTGTCGAGAGTTCAGCTATTTATCAATTCATAGTTGAAAATTAAGTACATAGTTCTACTGTGAGGAAATAACTGAAATTGACAGCTGCAGGCTAAAGTATCATAAGACGCCATAGTGCAAAACTTCACAAACTTGTCCAGTTTTTTACCATATAATTCCTTTGTCATTAAGATTAATGCCTGAAATTTTCATGAAAGTCTGAGCAACAGTCTCAAAGAAAAATCAAAACAATATTAAGATGTCTGGCAATATATGCCAATATATCCAGACATAAATTGTGCTTACAATACTTTGGCCAGAGGGTGACAAAATAATGCGAGAATTACCTGAAGGAGTTCATCATTCATCCATCGAGGGTGCAAGCAACAGATAGAGGCTAAACACATCAATGCTGATTTCTTGACAAATACTTTATTATCCGCTACAAACACATCCAAGAATTTCAGGACAATTCTGGCACCAGGTAATGGATTTTCATTCCATTCTGTTTCTTCTTCAATACATTTGAAAAATTCATTAAAATCTGGGAAAGATCGTTTCAATTCTGCTTTGGTCACATTTTCATCTTCAGTCTGATACGGGGTGACAAAAATTCCCTCAATGACAGCACGGATATGTGGGTTATTCGACGACAGGGCATTTGAAAAAACAGTGAGTGCTTTGGTTCTTACAGAGGCTGCGTTATCTTTGCAACGAGATAAGACAATGGCGATTAAAAATGGATATGTGGTGTATTTTATCAAAGGAGAATCCTCATTTGTGAATCTTACTAGCGCTTCTAATATGAGTCGTGACATAATTTCTAGAGCATTGATACGGTGCTTGACATTGTCACTGTGGCAAAAACTATAGATCCAAATAACAGTTTGACCGTAGATATCAGCAGGCACAAAACTCAGTATTTCAAGAATTGTTGATACTGCTTTTATGCGCAAATCTGCTTTGTCAGGGATTAAAAGACATAAGTGTTGAATAAGAACTCTTACACCGGGGTAAGAGGCATCTCCTAGAGTTTCCATCAAGTGCTTCATAAAATTAATCACATTTTCTTTGATTGTCAGATGCTCTCTGGCAGCTTGCTTCTTTTCAACAAGAAATGCTGGCATTAGCTCTTTTAAAACTGCACACACAACCTCAGGAACTTCTCCTACATCTGGTGAGCAAAGAGCTTTTAAAACATTAAAAGCATTCATTGGTAAAGCATTAAAACCTGTAGCATTTGTCTCATATTGTGTTATCACAGTGCTCTTCTCCAGTCTTGTCACTTTGGCGAGCCATTGAACCAAAGAGGCGAGGGACTCTTCTTGAGATCGGAAATTTATTTTTCGGAAGGCATAGGTGAATCGTTTCAAAAGAGCATTCAGCCATTTTTCAAGGTGAGATCTTTCTTGATGTGATAAGCTTTCATTGTTTGTTTCGTCACCATCTAGGGAATCATCATTTGTCCGATGTTGAATGTTGCTAGAACGTGTTTTAACAAGATCACAAAACTTTTCAAGAACTTCTAGGACTGAGGAGAATAAAATTGAGTTAAAAATATGGAAAACTTGACTTCCAGGAACAGCTAATAACATCACATAGACGCTGATGGCACTTAAAGCCGTATGCCGGGCATCTTCGTCGTTTGATTCTGATTTTGCTTGATGAATAAAATAGCTAAGTAGACATATCAGGGCCTTGTGTCTAATTTCTTTCTTGATTAGGTACTGCCAGGACTTCACGTCGATATCATCAGCAATGGATGACGTGTTAAGAGATAAGCGTGCTGTACTTGCAGAATCATCAGATTCTAACCAAATCTTGAAGCACACAGAGATTTCATCTAGAACATCGACAACTATGATTTCTTCTAAATATGCTTCGTACTCCGGTGGTAAAACATCTATCTCAGAGAAAGAATTATTCCAAACATTACTGACCCATCCAGTGGGAAGCTTCTCCAACCCTAGTTTATCAAGCGCACTTATCACATCCATAGTGGGTCACTGCACCCTTAATCACTATAGTAATTGAATAAATAATTTAGAGGAGTCAAGTTTGACCGAGAACTAATGTAAAATTCCGAGATAAACGATAATATTTGCATAATTTGGACAAGAACTACATGATTGTCCACACCACTTTTCAGACGTTAGAAGTTTGAATTGATAGCAAAACATCAACATAACCTACAAGATTCTAACGCTTACACTGTTGCCGCTGTGTGATTACGATTTAATTTCAATGAATTTTTTATTATCTCTTGGGGATTTTCAATTTTAAGGTTCCTTGCATTTTAAATTATAAAAATTGCAACAATGGTTATTTAAAAACAGATCTTCTTAAAGACATTTTTGGAGTTGTGAGACTGTGAATTATGTCACATGAGACAACATTGTTACCGTTTCTGAAGCTGATTGGCTAGTCGCTTCCCGCTTCAAATGAACAATAATATTTATGCGGGAGTACCAACACCGGAAATTTTTCTCAGGTAGAACATTTTTACCTTATTAATTTAGGTTGTGGAATTAAGTCATTGATTTCATAAAATTTTAAATTTGTGATTGATTGAAGCGTGGCTAACGTGAATTCATGGAGAAGATCTAACGATTTCCTAATTCCTAAGAGAAGCATATTTCTCTTTCTGATGGTACCCATGATGGGGCATCTGCTATCGACAAATTCAAATTTTTGGCGGGAGTGACGATGAGCGCTAATCAAAGACACAGTGCTGCTGCACTAGTAACAAAGTGAATCACATTTAGGAAAACGGAACGAGCGCGATTATGTACAGCGTTTCCAAAACTGTGCAACTTCCTCTTTCTTTTAAAAGACTCAATGAGTGGACAGTATTAAAATTTGCACAGTTGCACAATAGACCACTAGACACGGTACGAATTTAAGCATTCTGATACATGTTTCTTAACCAGAATTTCACGTAGAACACGCTTCGCGCAACGAAAATTATTGAAACCAACTCCTTACGGAGATATTAACACTTTTATTTCACATTGGTTACGAGGCAGTTCGCTATGATAAGCGGTCCGACTCGGTCGATGTTGATCAAGCGGCTCCCTTATCAACTACATTAATCTTCATTGTGTTCCAACGTTTGTGAGTGATATGCCGGGCGGTGGCAGGAAACCCCTCCCCCCCTCCGGGCATAATCCACGTCGGAGTGCTGTGTCTATAAACGTGAACAATCCGCCCAACTCAAGTTCCTCAAATCTAAACGACTGGCTGGAAATACCAAAGAAACCTCCCACATAGCACAGAATATTGATATAATACTACAATAGTACTGACACGTCAGTAGTGTCAGTATTTATAAAATGCTGATGTATCCTGATTTAATATTATATCAAGACTATGCCAGTATTTATTAGTTACTGATTTGGAGCTGTCAAAATATTGTTACAGTATTGGCCGAAAAGGTTGATTTCATATGGAAATCAAGGTTATGACAAGGTCATCAGAACACTGCAGGACACCGACAATATGTATGCATTACTACCTTAACACTGACACGTCTGTACACTCAGCGCACTCTGTCAAGTAGATATGGAAGTTCAGACGATGGTCGTCATTTTCATAGTACTAGGTACACATGTATTACATTTGAAACATGAATTACACAAGTATACAAGTATTGAATATTATAAACCACTTACTTGATGTCCTGCGACGTTTAGTAGCGTAAAATACCCGGACGCCCTTAGGTGGATTTGAACCCGAACCGTGGAATTCCTAGCCCAGTATTCTCCCATTGAGCCACAGGGAGCTGATGGTGTTCCGGGTTAAAATCACGCCTGTTAAGGCTGTTATAGCATGCATAGCATCAGTGCGCGGCTCGACTTTCATCATAACTTTGATTAACACCGTGTTTTCTTAGGCTTCCTTTTCTTCCTATATTTGTTTTTCATTTTTTCGTGTTAATTTCTTCTCGTGTTATTTTTTTTTTTTACCTCGTCAGCATTGACTCAATACTGTTGTTTGATATATTGAAGGTATCAGTGTTATATTCATGCTGACGCGGTATACCTTTTAACCGACAATCTTAATATCATACTGCATTAGTGTTGGTGATATCATGTCAACATCCAACAATATGTATCAGTATTGACATAAGATTCTGTGCTATGTGGGCTGTCCGTCTTCCCCATCACACTGATGAAGATTGGGAAATCAGGTGTAGAATCTATGAAGTGCAAAAGAAATCTAAGGAAAATCAATTGGAAATATTATCCTCTGAAACTTTAGATTCAGATATGGATACGAATAATATACCGTCATCGCAAAGTGTTTCAACGTCGCAAAACCAATTTGTGTCAACGCAAAATAAATTCTCAATTTTAAATGAACTTTCTAATAAAGAGTCAGAAGACATTAAACCACCACCTATTTTCATTAAAATCAGTGCATCTTGTGCGGACCATGCACTCAGCATTAACTGCGTTTTTAAAATCAGCAAACATTTCTGTCAATGAATTTATGATTCAACTCTTAAATAAAAATCAAATCAAATTATCACTCTCGAAAATTATACCATTATGACCAATCACTCTTTTACGTGAAAAATCTATACAGGGTGAGCGAAAAGTCCCCGACCCCCCCTCTAACTTTTGAACGAATTGAGCTAAGGAAATGAAACTTTGGGAATAATCCTATCTCAAAGGGGACCATCTTTTGAGGGGGTCAAAATTTTGGTCCCCCCCTCAGGGGGGGACAGGGGCCCCTCAACTTTTTTTTTCAAATAGCAACCCCTATCTTGTGATACCTCATTCGAAAGAACATAAAAAACTAAGAATTTTGGCGCAAACCGCAGATCAATATCTCAATTTTTGACCGAGTTATGATAGGTCAAAGGTCAAATTTGACCTATTTTCAAAAAATCATAACTCCGGTTCAAATTATCGTAAAGACAAAAATAAAACGGGAAAATTTACCAAATTGTGTTCGCTTTTACGTAAAAATTGCAGAAATCACTTCGATTTAATTTTAAGGGGGGGCTCGGACCCCCAAATACGTCAATTCAAAGGTCATTCAATTTCCCTGCGAAATAAGCCAATTTCCTCTGGATTTGCCTCCACATTATCTCAGTAAGGTCAAAATCAGTTCAACATTACGTTGGCAAGTCCCCAAATTTCGGGAAAAGTTAAAAAAACGAAATTTAAGCGGTCAAATTTAATCACCTTAAATTTCGTTTTTTTAACTTTTCCCGAAATTTGGGGACTTGCCAACGTAATGTTGAACTGATTTTGACCTTACTGAGATAATGTGGAGGCAAATCCAGAGGAAATTGGCTTATTTCGCAGGGAAATTGAATGACCTTTGAATTGACGTATTTGGGGGTCCGAGCCCCCCTTAAAATTAAATCGAAGTGATTTCTGCAATTTTTACGTAAAAGCGAACACAATTTGGTAAATTTTCCCGTTTTATTTTTGTCTTTACGATAATTTGAACCGGAGTTATGATTTTTTGAAAATAGGTCAAATTTGACCTTTGACCTATCATAACTCGGTCAAAAATTGAGATATTGATCTGCGGTTTGCGCCAAAATTCTTAATTTTTTATGTTCTTTCGAATGAGGTATCACAAGATAGGGGTTGCTATTTGAAAAAAAAAAGTTGGGGGGCCCCTGTCCCCCCCTGAGGGGAGGACCAAAATTTTGACCCCCTCAAAAGATGGTCCCCTTTGAGATAGGAACATTCCCAAAGTTTCATTTCCTTAGCTCAATTCGTTCAAAAGTTAGAGGGGGGGGTCGGGGACTTTTCGCTCTCCCTGTAGAATTCTATTCTTACCAAAAAACCCAAGATCGTCCTTATCGTGTCGTGTTAAGTACGCGGTCTTCCCATTTCAACTCCCGGCCCCCTCATAGCCGAATTTCTTTAAAAACACGGTCATGAACCTGTTCGTATTCACTTGTTAAAACATTGGAAAACAAAAGAACCCATCCCACTTCGAGAAATAGACCTAAAAAAAGCGCCCTCTAATAAGTTTATTTTAAACATTAAATCTTTCTTCTGTGAAAAACAACATTTCAAAATTACTTTTGAATCCCCTCGACCAAAAAAATACGTGATCCAATGCCTAAACTGCCAAAAATATGGTCATTCACGCAATTTTTGTGCCCTTAAATCTATCTGTGTCAAATGCGGTCAACCACATAAATCAGAACTTTGTGACAAACCTAAAGAGCCCCCCCCCCCCACCTGTGCTCTATGCGGTATTACTGGACATACTGCAAACTACAAAGGATGCTCTATCTATCAAGCAATCAGGAAAACACGTCTTGTGGACAAGAAACCAATTTTCTGGAACCATCAACCAGTCCCTCAAATTCAACCTGGCCCAAAATATCAGTCTGGCAAATCATATGCAGCCGCTACAGCTTCCAAAGGAGAAGCATTAAACACTCCAACACCGGATATCATCAATCTCTTATCTCAATCTCATAAGCTCAAATTAATCAATTAGTTAACCAAATTTCAAATCTATGTTCTCTTTTAACTCAATTTCTCTCGGCACACATTCGCTCTTGAAAAGCCTGTTCCCCTTTATTAATTTACTTAAGACGCAAAGTCTAAATCCTCACGCCTCCAAATGTTCCGTTAAACGGACATTAAAGGAGAAACGGTTTGTTTTTGACGGAAAACCCGTCATAAACGCAACCTTAAAAAATGGAACCATTGTTAGCCAATGAATAACTAGGTTCTACTTTCCACCTGTTCATCTTAGGTTGGTAACTAATAGATTAAAACTAGTTTACTTAGAATATATATAGACTAAGAATTAAATCTAAACTTTTTAAAGACGAAAAGTCTAAAAGTCTACATGTACAATTGTTATATTTTATTTGTGCAAATAAATAATAAAAAAAAATTGGTTACGAGGAATTTGAACTGCCCGCTCACAAGAAACTCAAAGCTCTACGTGAGTCAAAGCGCTCACTACAACGATTTCAGCAAGCTTCTCAATCAAGCAATGTTCATTTCCCACCATGTGTTTTTCAAACTATAAGTAATTTGCTATAGCTGAGCCAAAGCGTCAAGATTGAGGTTGCCAGATTTTTTTATCGCAGAGACGTTCATGATAACGTTTAGAGCGCGATGTGAATCACGTAGAGCATTGAGTTTTCATGAGCGGGTGATTTCAATTCACGCACAAGAATCATCAGATATCTTCAGAAGGAGTTGATTTCGGTAATTTTCGTTGTGCGCATCGTGTTTTATGTGAAATTTTGGTGAAGAAACATGTATCAGAATGCCGAAATTCGTACCTTGTCTAGTGGTCCATCGACAATTTTTTGGTGGGAAGCAGATAAAATTTGCTATTCTCTGAAATTGTTTACATTATTCTCAGGAAGCAACATTTTACAACACTGTAATCGCGCTGGTTCCTTTTTACTAAACGCGATTCTTTATTATTTATTTTGGACCTCTTTCGATGGAGATCACATTATTGTGTACATCAGATTACGCCTTTATAAGGCGACCGTTTTGAATGAAGATTGATGGGAAAAATTTTGCTAGGTACATGAATTCCGTTTTGGTCTATATGCTACTTGAAGAGTGGCTGTGGATTCTAACTTATAAAATGGGACTAATGCTTCATTTGCCTTCCTTTATGTCCGTCTGATTTAATAGGTACCTCTTTTCGAGAGCAAACTTTTTTTTTCTCTCTCTTACAACAAATCTTTCATCTTTAAGATTGAACAGAAGCACTTTATAAGTTCGCAAATCTCTTCCTTGTTAAAATACTTGCAAGGGAAGAAGGTATTTCGTTGACATACCTCCGTTATTAGAATTCATGCCAAATAGGTTTATGCACTTTGGGATTGTGACAGAAGATCAGCTGTCTTCGGTATATCATTGAATGTAAATACAAAAATCAAGATACCGGATCCTCTGTTGCACTTTTAAAGTGCGTAATCTTACTTTTCATAGACTCTAATTTTCTCGTAATTTCTCCTATTTTTCCAAACAGCCTTGATAATTTATGAATTTATTTATGTAACCAAGATTCTTGATTAAAAGAGCTCTAACCACGGCTGGATAGAAGAACCTAAAATTGGGAAATTTGTAAATTTTTTAAGAACTTGCCGTGCTCTATGAAATTTTTTTTAAAATGTACCATCACTGAAAAATAAAAAAAATGATTTTGATTTGGCATTCTGGATGTAAAAAAAAGTTTGTGAGAACAGTAGTTACTTTAGCAATGCCAAGACGTAAAACTAACTGCTGTGGTGGGTAATTCAGCATTTTAAAAGTTCTGGCACACTTTTCATCATCCAGAATGCTAGATGGACGTATTTCTACCAAACGGAACTATGTGCATTATGACGTCAGCTCTGTTATGCATATATTCTTATGGGTCTCAGGACTCATGTCTCAATGCACATAGTTCTGTTTGGCAGAAATATATCCAAATCAACTTCACTTATTTTGCGTTGTGATACTTCATCGCCAGCATTGGCTAGTGGTTCATAGGAAGCTATATAATTCCTTCCAAATTTTGTATTTTTTTTACAGATTTTTTAAAAGGGACTCTTAGTAATGAAACAAAATCAAAATCAACCGAAATAGTTTATTCTTATAAATACACTAGGAGCAACATTTAAACTTTAACAAAACTTAAAACTAAAATAAATAAACGATCTATTAACTAGATTCATCATCAGTAACTTCTTCGACAAGAGGTACCTCCATATGTTCTCTAATGGCATTGTTCAGTCTAAGCTTGAGCCCAGCTTTTTGTTGAGTTGAACTATCAACATTGTACCTAAGAGGAATGTACTTGCGCTCATTATTTAATTTATTGATCTTTTCCACCGCCAGGTGTGGAATCATTATATGAAAATTCCTATACTCACTTGCGCTAGTCTCTAAGTCTGATTTGGGGGTTTTGGACCCTTCATTTTCACCCTTTGAATTTGTATGAGTGCCTAGGAAAGAGGTGGGTAGGTACCTCAGCCTCCGCGTTGTGCGGTCTGATTTTTGGTTGGAGGAATTATTTTGACTTGATTCAGTTATGAACGGGGAAAATGCAAGCCTTGCATACTTTTCTGCTTGCTCTAAAAATTGAATCAGCCGTTGTGGTAAATACTGTACAGTTAAGGCAGAGTAAGATCTCTCTGAGGACACAGGAATCTGTGTAAATTTGGTACTATTTGTTCGCCAATGTTGCCAGGATTCGGTCGCTCCAATTGACGGAGGATTCAAATCTTGCTGCGGCATCCAACCTGAGTCATTGACTTTGATGCCTCGAGCGCGGATCATCGGGGCTTTGGTGGATGTTGCCTTCAAGATAGGCTCTTTGATTTCCGCCCTGGCAGTTGTCACGTTGCGGTGTAAGAACACATCACTCTCACCATCTATCACAAATTCATACGGTCGGTCCGGTTTTAAATTAATCGATTTCTCTACATAATTCTCACTACTACTATTGTCATTTTTCAATGAGTAACTGGAACTTAGTGGTATACTAGGTTGTGTAACAGCGGAGGGCGCAGAGGCTGTAGATCCTCCCGTAGAGTTTAGAACTTTATCTTTCGCAATGCTGGAAAGTGTTACGATGTTGTTCACTGTTGACTCGGTGGTGCCATTTTGCGACAGCTCTGGTTCAGAGGTTGTAAAATTTTTGGTCGTATTATTGTTGGAGTCAGTGTATTCTGCTTGCAAGAAGCCGCGTCCACTGTTTTCAGGGTCATACTTTCTGAGAGAGTCAATGCTGTTCCCTGGATTTCCAATCTCTGCGTAATCAATGACAGGCTTCCATTCTACATTGTAGTAATTGGATTCTGCGTTTTCTAATTTGTTTTTGTCCGACTCCCTCTCTGAGCTTGAATTTCCTGTGAGAACTTCATCTCCAATCTGTATCACTTGAGTAAGAGGTCTGTATTTTTCAAAAGAGTTGTTGTAGCTGTTGGCAATAATGTTATTGTTGGTATCCTGAAAAATAAGTAGAAAAGACTAGATCAATAAAAGATTATGAAAGTTCCTTTCATCGAAATTTTGATGTACAATTTCTGTAGGACGCACAATTGTTCAGCAAAACTATCTGGAATATTCACAAGTAAAAATACGAAATTTGAAAAAAAATTGTCTTTCAGTTAAAAAGTTCTTCTGTAGGTAAGCGCTGGATATGTGTTAGTTTTCTTTCCTTTTTTCTTTTTTTTCTGAGGCACAGTGCGCATTAGAAAAATATTTTATTTTTATACAGCAATAATCTCCTAATACTAAGACATCCTCAGCCTGAAAATTTTAGGACTGGACCTCCAGTGTTTTCCTTTTACCTGTTTCATCATTATAAAGGTGTACCTATGGGGGACTGGCTGGGGCTGTCCATAAATGAAAAGTATGAAGATGAGAGAGGTCTTCAATACAGTTACTCTTACTTACAGAGAAGGACATAAAATGCACTTCAACAGGGGAAAGAAAAAAAAATCAGGAAAATAGCTAGACAGTTAAGAAATTTATGGACAGATTTAAAGTTCATAGTGAGACTATATCTTGTGAACAGATATTGAGAGTGTCATGCTGCGACTTTCGTGAATCATTAAAAGAGGGTCCTGACATAAAACTGGAATTGTATTACTCAAATTCAGATTTTGCGAAGTCTACAAATTCTATGGATGATTAATGAAGTGATTGATGAAATCATATGTTCATGGATTCTGGCTGTATTTTGACAGATTTTTAAGAATATTTCAATTGCACATTTTGCAAATATGATGAAAAAAAGGCAAGTGTTGATGTGCCTCCTGTAGTTTGGGAGCCATGCTTATACAAGAATAAAATGTGAAAGAGATTATCACAGGGGTGTGTATTTGTGCTAAGATTTGCAGTTAAAATTCTGACAACTGTAGAGAAATAGGAACCATGTACTCACATTATTTGCTTGCCAGACTTCATCTGAAATTACGGAGTTGCATTCACCGGATAGTAATGGCAGGACGATGCCAATGCCCGATTCCAAAACTAAATCTTTTTTGCACACAGACAAACTGGAAAAAGAAAGCAACAAAATTTTAGATGAATGAAATGACAGCAACTTGGATGAATTTCAAATCCACTCAGGCGATGTCGATTAGGCTGGGTAAATATAGATGATTGGATCAAATCTTAATTTGGGTAGTCAATGAAATATTGGNGGGGGGGGGGGGGGATCCAATGGTAATAAACACCATTGCGAATGATGTGAGACAATATTATAATTTGATATGCCAGCATAAAAATAAAACTCAGCTTTTTTACTGCTATAATGGTGATTTTTTCACCAAGTTCCAAGGAAGTTTTAATTTGAAAAATGTTCACTACTGAATGTTTTAAATTGTTCGTGAAAAATGCCGAAAGTCGAAAATTTGCAATTCCGCCTATATGAAAGTATTGGGGGGCAAAAATGATAAACCTCTTTCTTAGAAACTCTTAGATACCTAATAATTTTTTTCCCCCGAAAAAACAAGATTCTCTTTGTATTTTCCAAAATTTTAAAGCAGTTGACCAATTTGTGCTGTTCCAAATAAACCTACCTACATCCTTACCTGACACTGTAATTTTTGCTCTTAGTGCATCCTTTAATATTTTGATAATTGAATATTTTTCATCCACCAGATGCATATACAAAACATTCTGCTTATTTCAAGACCGACCCAGGATGATATCTATTACACTCATAATTAATACCAACTTTGAGATTAATTATAAGCGAAATAGATTAAATTAATCCAACTTTCAATGAACTGTAACATCTCAACAGCCTTTTCTCAGTGTTATCTATTAAAAAAGAGGATACAGTAATTGAATATTTATTCAGAACAGTATGCACACCTTTTCCCAAATGTATCAGTGAGTGTGACTTTATCAATACTCCATCTTGGGAGTCCACTTGATAACCAGCCGCTGTATGCTATGTAAAGAACTTGGACCGCTCGAAATTCTTGAAGTGCAGGGTGAGGAACGATAATACGGCTTACGGTTCTTCCAGCTAGAAGTTCTTCATCCTCTTTTCTGCATTAAAAGAAACAAACGTTAGTAATTACACGCATGATTGTAAAAGGGTTACATGATAAGAGGGGGGGGAGGGGGGGGTATCTAGAATTCTTGTATTCAGTAGGTAGGTATTGCATAATTAATGGACTGCCCTCACGAACTACCCTGTTGATTGAAACATACGGCACAAATTGGAGTAAATTTTGGTCATTCACTAAAAATTGACCTGCCATTGAATCTCAAAACACTCTGCCGTGATTTCTTGTTCAAGATGAAGTTTTTAAGCCTAAAAATAACGAAAGAAAAAATGCATAAAAAATTATTACAAAATGCAAAATGGACGCATTAATGCTAAACGGAACTATGTACATTGGATTTGTGTGCAACATAGTTCCTTTTAGCATTGATATGTCCAAATGTGTTGGTGAAAACATTGATACTTACTCTTTTTCAAAGCTTACCAAGTTCAAGTTGTATGGGAAGTCAAGACAGAGGTTCCAATTTTAAGTTGACATTTCTTTTCATTCAAAAGACAACATTTATTTAGAGTTCATGCAAGCCAATCAAACAGTAGTCCTTTCGTTAAATGATTGTAATCATGAAAAAGGGTAGTAAATATGTTCTGCCAATTTTGGAGTACNAATAATTTATAAAAATTTCTTATCGATGGAAAAATGTGTCTCTATACCATTGAAATTCCGCCAAGACACGCCACTATCACATCATGTTGTTGTTTTCGTTGTTTACTTTCGCGACTGTGCTGCCACAGGCAAGAGAAAAAAAAATCCCCAAACGGCTCATGTTACCCCCGAGGCTCATGTTAGACCAACTGACGGTAGTAAATATGTTCTGCCAATTTTGGAGTACCAATTTCAGAGCAAATTAGAGTGAGTAAACGAAGTAAATTCAACTAAAGAAAACATGAAAATAAGCTCTATAATTGTATAAGAATGCAGTAATGATGGAGGTACACTTACTGAGTGATGGTAAAAGTTTCATTCAGTTCGAGATCACCAATCAATGTAACTTGAATTTTTCCGAAGCTAATGGCAGGAGGAGTTATAGGAGTAGTTTCAATTTTCACGAGATACTGATGAGCTGAAAATTAAAAGACACAATGCAAGCTGAGTTAAAATATAATTTAATTTGATGTTGCAAATCTTTAAAATATACGATAGTCTCTTGTTTGAAGTAACCCCTGAGCAAAAATGGCCAAATTTAAAAGAGTTCCTGGGTAGCCAATCACTAAAAATTTCTGACGTGAAACTTCGATTAGAAGTATACCGTTGGGAAGTGGATAAATGATGAAGATTTATTTTTATAAAAACCAAAAAAAATTGACCTCCTGAAACATTCAGGGCTCCTGACGAAAATTTAGGGAAATGAGTTGTCAACACCTTCTCATATTTTTCCTTCATATTTTCGATTTCCATTTTAACTCATTAGGGATGGCTGGATTTTGTTCATTTCTGTCTTTTTCAGTCCTATCTCCCAGCCATCACCTACAATCACCCATTACTTTAATTACTGAACTTGCATCTGATAGCTCCACTGATTACAGCCAGCCAATAGCGTGTAGACTTGTTGTCTCACCACCTGTGACGTCAGCAAGTCTATAAAAGCTTGCGCTGCCCTAAAATCAAGGTCCTTTTACCATCTTGACCCGTACATGTACGTAGTGCCCTTTTTCGCCCTTTTGGCACATTTTTAGTGACTAATTTCAATCTTGTAATTCTGTAACTTTTTCTCTCTTTCGATCAATACATTCCAAATTCCATCTCCAACATTTCGTTATTCAATTATTTCCGCGTAGTTTGTTGTTCCTACTCAAAGAGCAACTGGTGCCGAACGGATATTCCAACCTTCTCTTATGACATAAGTTTTTTTTGAGAAACTGTTTGTGGCAACGAGCATCCTCATCTCTCAAACCCCACTTCCAGAGCCACATCTTTGAATGGATTCATCAAATCTTGAAAACTGTTTAACTTATGATTTTGATCATGACTCCTTTTCTAGATGAAACCTCTCTTCGTAAAACTTGCAGATGTAAGTAATGGCTTCTAAGACTTTAAGAAAAGGGAAGCATAATTCAACAGACTCTAGGTGAGTAAACGTTGTGGTCCAGTAATTTTGGTATTAAATGGTAGGGGAATTCTCTCTTGAAAAAGACGAGCCAAGAGGAAGGGTTAAGATCTGACTGGCAGTTCCACAAAATAATACATTAGAATTTTAGCCAGTGATAAAATGAAAATGATATTCCCCTACCTACGTCAGAAAATACGTGCAGAAGCATGCTATTTATGTTTTTCCTTTTTATCATTTGTTTTCTCCCCAATGTGAAATTTTAAACCCAACGTATTATTGTTTAAAAAATTTGCCCCCCCCCCCTCGATGCAGCCGAGCGTAGGTAAAAGGCCTAATCACAGGAGATCAAAAACCAAGAATTGATTAAGACTAAAAAGTATCTATTGAGTTTCTACTCTCTTAAGACTTTTTTCCTGAAGAAAAGACTTTTCTCTCATGATGCTATTCATTCCTAGACAAAACAAAGAAAAATAATATTTAGTCAGAAGGGATGATTCAGAAAAAATCCTACCACAAAAAGGCTCCTCCTCCCTTGTCAGCAAGTAGAGTGTTCCCCGGCCGTTGGATTTATCAGCATAGTAGCCCATATTACCACACTCTGTTTCATCTTTGCAGGTGAAACATTCACCCTTCAGGTATTTGTCATAGGATTCACAGGCAACAGCAGGAAAATGACAACGCGGTGACACACTGTCAGTGAAGAATTTGTACGCTCTGCGGTGGTTGCACAAGCTTCGTCCGTATACTTCTGAGGCAGCTAAAAACCAAAATAAATCGAATATATTATAAAATAAATAAATAATAAATAGATTCAGGATTACCACTGCATGTGTCCCCTCTCACGGTCAAATCTTTTCAGAGATTCTTCGAGGTTTATATAGTAGATATAAAATCGTCCTAAATGTTTATTACATACGCCTAAATGTCAAGAATAAGTTACTTGAAGAGCACACATCTACTGTTGCACAACAAAAATTTTCTTCAAATTTCATCAAATATTTCATCAATTTTAACGAATGTAGACTATCAAAATAAAGCTTGTAAGCTCTGAATTGTCCAAATTTCCCATCATCTACCAGCCACCGGCTACATAGGTTTAAATAATCTAATGTTCATTGTATGTAAGAAAATATCCAAGAAAAATAAAAGGAAGAATTCGAAAATTAGGCTAACTTAATAGTTGCGTACCTAAACTAACCACCTACAGTGTAATTAAAAATGTGTTACATAGTTTGAATCAAGCATCTACTTACACCATAAGATATCGGTAACAGCTCCTACAAATAAATTAGTGCAGCCTTTCTGCATTCGACCTCCATTTGGATAAAAATCCACGTGGCCCATTGGTTGCCATGAACCAAGACCTCCCAATATTAGATTTTCTCCGTTTGAGTGAATCACATCCACAAATTTGGCATCAGTGGAGTCTAATCTTGCTCTTGGGTCTTGGCTCTCGAATAATGGTCCAGCTGGATCCAGACCTAATTGAAAATCAACAAAAAATTTGGTTGAATAAAAAGAAATTCCACATGATTTTTTGTAACTAAGTAAATTCATTCATTTTTAAAAAATTGAAAGATCAGAATTTGTCTTAATTAATTGATTTCAGAATTAAATGTATTGAGAAATGAACGTATTAACTTTTTGCTCCAGATTGAGACAATTAAAAGTATGAATGATATCATTTTTCATGAAATACTTTAGCTTGAAGTGTATCTCCTTTTAAATAAAAAAAAGGCCACTCACATTAGTCTGAGTCTTCTTGATTTTAAAATCTATTGAAAAAGTCACAAGATTAGAATAACTGATTCTTCAGTAGAGCCGCTGAGAAAAATGTTAGCGTACCTGTGATACGGCTGAGATTTTTGAGTTCAGCACCGGCAAACCCTGCTACATGGGCACCAAGACTGAATCCAATCATATGTACGTTATCGATGGGTAATTTCAATTTAGTGTGGAGGCCCTCAACTAACATGGCAACCTGCTTCCCGACTAGCCTCGTGTTAGCTGCTGCTCGCACATAGTTTGGGATAGTCGCTCCGTTCTCCCAATCCACACATATCACATTGCAATCTTCCTGTAAAACAAAAATTCCAACTTAGTTGACAAAATAACATTAATACCTGACCATGATCAAAAAAGTGATTCCTGTCTAATTTTGTGATTCCTAAAATACATTTCATAAAAATACTTGAAAAGGCAATACATACTGCTAATGCTGGCTGTCATTGGGGGGAGGGGCAATGTCATGTGCATTTATAGGTTGATCATTTTGAGATTTAATGACATTTGGCCTCCATACCTCCCCCCATCCCACTTTGGCCTAATGAAAGTTTGCCTCCTCTGAACACACTTTTAACAACCCACAGCTTTGGCAGAAATAAAACATCTTAAAAAGTCTGTAGCTTATTTTTTGGGCTCTAGAGGGTTTTCTGTCAAAATCTCAAAAATTAGCCAACCTGAGTCCTTGAGGAGCATTTTGCGACAAAAGCATTAAAATCGAATTTCAACTTTTTGCAATAAATTTGCAATTCTTTTACCATAAAATTGTGACATACTTGCATAATCTGGTTACCAAATGCCGATTTGGAACAATCAGACGAAAGATTAAAAATTTGCAATGCACAAAAAAGTTGCAATTCAATTTTATTGTCATGCGTGTCAATAATAGGTGCCCCTTCATTTAGCTGATAGGCAACAGGTACAACATTCCAATACGGTGACGAATAACGATAATTTTATCATGTCATCGCAATTTATTGCACCATCTCTTACTTGGGTCAACGAATATCACCTAAGTATACTGCTATAAACACAGCGACAGACAAAAGAGAAATGGAGTGATCCTATTGGTTGAAACAAGTGGTATTTACAGACTAAGGGAAAAAAGATGGACTGACTAATAAGGAGTATCTCGCGAGTTGCCATTCGTTTGTCTACTACATACTTACTCCACTGTAACCACCTGCTTCCATCGATAGGATTGCTTCATTTTCCATTTGCCCTCTGTGTCTATCGTTTAAAAAGGTTGCGATTTGACTATTCAGTCTTATGTAAAAGATCGCGAGAAACACGATGGTGCCACTGGTTTTCTCTGAAATCAACTCCCAAGCTGAAAAAAAAGCTCTCAAGTCGAGGCCAAAATGGAGGGGATATCCCACGCTATTCTGAGAGTCCACCTCTACATCGAGACAAACTCTCCATGCAAAGATAGGAAGCAAATACATTGACATGGCTGCCACTTTATTTGGGGACACTAAAACCGAAAACACGGCATCACTGCTAATGTATTTGCTCCCTATCTTCGCATGAAGAGTTCGCCTTGATGTAGAGGTGGACTCTCAGGATAGCGTGGGATATCTTCTCCATTTCCGCCTCAACTTGAGAGCTTTTTTTAAGCTTGGGAGTCGATTTCAGAGAAACCCAGTGGGACCATCGTGTTTCTCGCAAACTTTTACATATGAACAAGGTGTCTAGTATTTTTTAATTTTGAAAAATCCTGATATTTTCCTGATTTTTCCTGATATTGCATAAAAAATTCCTGAATTTTTCATTTTGAAAATCCCTGATATTTTCCTGATTTTGCACGACTCCAGGCACGGTAGGCAAAAAACAGTAAGACTTTCTCCGCTGAAAAGATTCGCGTAAAAAAAATCCCTGATAAAACGTCCGAATTTTCCGATTTTCCTGATTTTTTCCTGATCGGCCAAAATTCCTGATATTTTCCGATTTTTCCTGATGCTAGACACCCTGAATTGAATAAATGGTCAAATGGCAAATTCCTCACACATCGACGGTGAAACTAACAAGGCACGTATCTCGTTTGCGGTGTTTAAAAATCTACGCTCGCATTTTATTTTTTTAAAGTCGACCAAATCAATATCATTCCTTGAAATTTTCACAGAATTTTCTCCGCACAAAGAGGACAAATCACAGACATTTTCAAGACTAGACGTTAAGTAGTTTTTCATTTAAAAAATAAAGTATGACAGGAAGTCTGCGACGTCGCAAACCGAGATACGTGGTTTGGTAGTTTCACCGTCGACATGCAACATCCCCATTGGATTGGAGGTATATCTCACCACGGTCATAAGAGCGGAGCGCATCTCGTAGACCCAGACGTTGGCGCAGGAGCTCCCGAATCCGTGGACGATGACTTTGGTCGGGGCGGAGATGTTGAAGGCCTTGCCGGCCCAGTCCCAGACGGAGGACATGTTCCCGAAGGAGACGTCCAGGAGCGGCGTGTCCCCGCGACGCCCCTTCCGCGAGTTGTAGAGCAGGAAGCGCGTGTTGACCTCCTGCGGGGAGCTCGGGAGCATGTCGATGTACCCGTACGGGCCCGACTCCTGGAAGCAGCCCACAGACTGGTAGCAGATCTTCGACTCGGCCCGCCGATGCCTGCTCATTCAAAAAACAAATCAATCAGTTATCGTCAATCATTCGCTATATATCACTGAAAAAAAATACTTCTGTTCACATGGCTCCTGCGGGCTGATTATTGGAATTGAGAGACAAACCGATAGACAAAGAAGACATAGGGAGTCTGGGGCGATCCTATTGGTTGAAATAGGTGGCTCTTACAGACTCAGGGAGGAAATTATGGACTAACTGTCGGGTCTTTGGTGGGTTGCCGTTAGTTAGTCTATTACCTATCTCCTATGTCCCTTGCCACCACCCGCTTCCACCAGTAGGATCCCTCCAAACCTTTTTTGTCGTCTGTGTCTATAGCTTTGTCCATCAGTTTCAATAATCGGCCCGCTGCACTTCTTTTGTAACAGTCACAGAAGCTTCCGTTATGAGGACAGAGTACTCTGTCCCCACGACCGAAGTTCTGTTCTCACAACAGAAAAATTCTGTTCGTGTAGGGCCTTGTCTCCACGCGCCTTTTCACGAGATTTGTCCCAGGGAAAAATCCCACTTACGAAGTTGGGAAAAACAATATTTTTCCCAGTACCAAGTGTGGTCTTTTTATCCTTGGGACCCACTAAGAGAAGATGAAAAAGTGTAAACGAATTATGCGATATTTTGTTGAATACTCCATTGTTCATGTTTGTTTGGTTAAAATAATGTAACTAATGGTCAATTGAGTGCAATTTTTATTTTAATCCGCCATGTTAAATACTCGACTTAAACCAAGTTATCTTCCCGCGCAAACTAGTCGCAGGACTGTATGAGCCCCGTCCCGTGGAGACGGTAACTGGGAAAAATCCCAAAAGTTTCATTCCTGCGATTCGAACTTGGGACAAATCCCATGAAAACGTCCCGTGGAGACAATGCCTAACAAAAGAAGTGCAGGAGCCCTGTGAACAGAAGGTTCTGTCGTCAGCACCATCTATTTTTCTCTGTGTATGACAGGAAGTCTGCAACGTCACACACGGAGATCCGCGGTTTAGCAGTTTGGCCATCGAATTATGAATCATCAGTGTAAGTTAGTTAGTTAGTATATTTTGAGACATTCAGCGTCACAGGCTATCCAAGTTCAACAAAAACGCACCAATACATATACGCAGTTCATAAATTATGTAACGCACATTTCCAGAATTTTTACCGCCACCCTTCCCCTTATGTAACGCTTTGTAACGCAATCTCGAGCCCCCCCCCCCTCCTTCAATACTTAGGCTTAGGCACATGGCGCTTGACAGACACCCCAACCAGCCTTATTCCACCAGATCCCAAGAATTGTTAGAAACTGCTGAATGTATAATTGGACGTATATCTATGAAACGGAACTATGTGCATTAATACATGAGCCCTATGAGAACCATAAGAATGTATGCATTACAGGGCTCACGTCAGAATGAACATAGTTCCGTTTGATAGAAATACGTCCAATTATGTTACGGGTAAATAGTAAAATCAAGCATTTTATCGAATGCCTCTGTCGATGGTCAAATATTTTTACATATTTTGAAAATTGAATATCTGATTCTTTTTATAGTACCTATTAGATAACATAAACCATTGCTCCTTGGACTTTGGACTACTTGTGGCATTTAGTCTAACAATTTCCGATGTCTTGTACAGACATGAGTTTTAATAATCATCCACGCTTTACATGTATTTCTTTACATGTATTATGGAAGGCGCTCATTGCTGTTTGATGCAGTGCATATTGCATCTCGGTGTTATGGAAGGCGCTTCAGATTTTTTTATTTTTTTGCGCTATTAATACGGTAACACATGCAATGATGACGACGGGATGGGCAATTTAGCGCCGCAATGGTCCTGGTTCTTCGATTTTAATGCAAACATACTCAGGTAAACTTGTAAGTTTAAGATACTGTATGGTTTACAAAATTATCGGAAAATGAAAACCGAAGTAGGTGTATCCAAATTATCGTTCCTAATGCAGATTCTCAAACTCGATCGAGTCTTGGGGCTTATTTTTAAAGAATCTATTCATGAGGCAAGGTAGAATTATTTACGTTTCTGAGAAGGTAATAATAATAGTTGGTCTTTCGCCACTCAAATAAAATGATAAAAACTTTTTTCAAAATACACAAAATAAGATAAATGCTTTCCTCGTTTCACCATGACCACGGTTGCTTACAATCAGTGAATTCGCAGTGTGAATATTTATTACATCATTCTACAATTACTATTACATTTTACTTACATAAAATTTTTGAAAGTCATTAATTTTTTACATTTCATTTATTTTGTCTTTATTTATTTATTTATCTATTTATTTATTGTTTTATTTATTTATTTATTTATTTATCTAGTTATTTATTTATTTATTTATTTACTTCTTTTTAAATCCATGCGGAGAGGAACCAATGAATAATAAGGAAACAGTATGAGAAAAACAAGTGAGACATCAAAAGGCAAGGAATTGAAAGGTGAGGAATTGATTCTAGAAATTGAGTTGTGGCGGTTGATGAGCTCCATGCATCATTGATTACACCACGACACTAGATCAACTTTCTACCGATGCGATATGAACAAGAACGTTTCTCATCGAAACAATCTATAGTGCTTCAACCGAGGGCGTTGGAAATTCCGTTAATATTATTAGAATACAGAGTTTACTGAATCTTTTAAACATTATTGCTGATTTTACACAATAAATAGGTACTATAAGAGATGAGTTCAAACGCCCATTTGCATCCAATCGTGTTGAAGACAATTGCTCTCTGGTAATTACGTCATGCTGGCAATACTTTTTATAGGGTCAAGTGTTATAAAAACATAAATCTTGATTATTACGATTCAAAACGTAAGCTCCCGTTGCATTTTTTTTTTCATTTTCGAAAGGAGAGAAAACCAACCTCACTATACATATGCTTTAAATTTTTACAGGATTCACGCAGTGAAAAAAAGTACGGAATCTTTTCAGAAAAAAGCATGAGAAGTTTTTCTCTTGAAAAATAAATTATGTGAGAAATCTGCAACATTATGCACGGAGTTGGTGATTATCTTGTTTCAATCAACGACGATTCAATTCCAACTGGCACCAGCTACGTGTTACGATGGCTGACTAGGCAACTATTACAACACAGAGGAACTGCGTGGTATCATCGTAAATTGAAGGCGCGCTAGGATCAAGCTTTCTCCGCTTGAATTCTCATTTTAGACTGAGGCAAACCGCAAACATCCACAACTCCATACCGCTCTTCATAACTTTCAACCATTCTCATTGACAATTGACAAAGTCTATGTTTTTCAACTGTGTCATATTTTCTTGAATTGAACATATTTAGAGGTGGAATCACTCATCTTCACCAAATAACCATTGAAAAATACGGCGAGCGAATACAATCAAAACAAGGTCTTCAAAATGTTAAATCAATGACTTAGTAGAATTTAGTCCAGTAGTTGATTCTCAATGTTTTAGTAGTTTTCAAGTAGTTTCCACTTAAACACGAAATTCATCAAATTTCAGACACCTGCATATTCTCTATTGGACTTATTTCTACCGAACGGAACTATGTGCTTTAAGACGTGAGCCCTGTTATGCATATATATTCTAATGGGTCTCAGGGCTCATGCACATAGTTCCGTTTAGCAAAAGTACGTCCAATTTTGAAGATGTTTGGACGCGTTAGGACGAGAAAAATGAGGAATAGACTTACCTGTGGTGTTTTTGTTTTTTGTAGTATTCGGTGACCGAGTCGAGGACAGCTTTGAAGATTCGCGCATCGTTCACTTCGTCAAGTGCTTCCTGAGCAGGGCTAGCCCACTGCGACCCACAACTCCAACCTGCAAAAACACAAATCATAAAGTTCACTTTTAAAAGTGTCGAACCAACACCCAAAACGACAAAAACAATGATTTTAGCGTATACGGTTGAACTTTGAAAAATATCTCGATCGTGGTTTTTTCTTAAACACTTACGCTCTTTTTCTCCGATAACTTTGTCTGACTCCATTACAAACGGACTGAGTTCAGCAGAAACAAACTGAGTCACATTTTTAAGAAAAATGAATCGTCAGTGATTTTAAGTTCAGCGAGTAATATACTTCTCAGGATGAATACCGGATTTTTCAGGTCCTACACATTACGCCTTTATGTTCAGGTAACACACTGAAAAAAAAATCTCGGTGTATTTACTAAGAAAAGGGTAAAATTACCAAGAATTCAGGGTTCTATTTGATCCGAGTTTTTTCTTGGTAAAATTACCATTTATGGAATTGGTAATTTTACCGAGAAATCTCGGTAATATTATTGAATTTTCTCGGTAATTTTACTGGGCCTCCGTAAAAACACCAATATTTTTTTATCGACTGTGATAGAATTACCGAGATAAAATGGCAAAGTTACCGGGAATTGATTACCAATAAAAGTGGTATTCTTACCTGAAAAAAACAGTAAAAATACCGGTTTTTAGGTAAGCTTATCAGTCTGTCTTGGGAAAATTACCAAATAATTGGTAAAAAAAGTGAGATGGTAAAGGTACCAACGGACCTTGGTAAAAACACCGAGAATTTTTTTTGTGTGCAATTGGATTACATTTTGCAATAAGGAACCGCTATCTCTGGCTCTTCTTTAAAAGCACCTTTCTGCACAGGGAAACCAATAGCATTTGTATTGTTTTTTAAAATGAGCCAGAAATAGTGGCTCTACATGGAAAATGTGGCCCAATTGATCGATTAACAACAGAATCACTTTCGTCAATCCCGTTCACACGTTAGAGATACTTCTTCGTGTTTATTCATCAAGATTTACGTAGGGGCCAAGCAACAGCGACGGACGAGCGGTATTTGGGTCAATTTTTGAGAATGAGGACGATCCCACCCTTGGGAGCCACCGTTACTCGCGTGTCACGTATTTACCCGTTGAAAATGGACCCGAGGAGCGTGAAAGGGTGAATCTGTTGGTGTTCCCCTTCCGCGGTGCGTGAAAAGTCACACCGCAATCATCATCGAAACCGAAGTTGGGTCGTACTCGTGGAAGGTCACGTGCCTCGGAGCCTGAAATCCAGCCTCGCCCGACTTTGGACTTCGGGATTCGTGACTTGCAAAGTCCTGACCGGGTCCAGCTCCGGCCCTGCGACCGGGAGTCACCATCGGCGCACAGTGGATCGAGTCAATAGGAGAGGTTGGACAAAATTAGGAAACTTTAAAAGCTTATCAGCTTAACTAAAGGAAAACTTTAAAAGCTTATCAATGAGCGAGTGCGTGGAATAATGAGAGTTGAGGAAGATATTGTGCACGATATCAAAACCAAGCAGCTGGTTTGGTATGGACAAGGACATGTGCGGAGAATGGCAGACAGTAGGTTGCCCAGAAAGGTATTTGATTGGGTTCCTCCCGGAAGAAGGCGGCGTGGACGTCCAGTAAAAGGTTGGCGGGAGGGAGTGGAGGGGGAGATCAGACGGTGTAATCTGCCCGATGATTTGTGGGAGGATCGATTCCGATAGCGAATTGGAGTCGCAGAGCGCTCTAGTGCGCTGAGGTAGCGGCTTGATATGTATGTATGTAAAAGCTTATCAGGGTGTCTACTTAAACAGGCTGACCGAAAACCAGTACTTTTACAGTGCATTACCAAGAAATTCAGCACCTCCTCAACAGAAAAATTCAGCACTTTTTCAGTACCTCCGACAGTCGGAATTCGAGAATTTTCAAAAATTTGAATTTCCCGCTCAAATTGCCACAAAGATGGGAAAAACTCCGGACTTTCCGGCGAAATTTCTGCACTTTTTCAGTACTTCCGGACCGCCCTTGAAAAATCAGTGCTATATCCGGACTTTCCGGAAATTCCGGGACTTGTAGACACCCTGCTTATAACTCCGTCGAACTAAAACTTTGAGATTTTAAAAATGATTCCATTGGTTTTCTCGTGAAATTTTCTTCCAGAGGCACCCCTCAAAATTAAAAATGAGACAAATTAAACAACAAAATTTGCAGTTTAGGTCAAAAATTTCACGTCCGACCTATCTGATTGACTGGATCCACTGTGCGCCGGGACGCACGAGAGACTCGCTTCGGAAGGATTCTGGATTGGTTCGAGCTGGGGCCACTTGAGCGGTTTTGATGGGTCAGTTACGCTGCACTGCAGTTGAGTGCACTGAGAAAAAACTCCGGCCGTGGAAGCCGTACTTACGGGCTATGCCGTCCGCGTTCCGGGCTCAGAAGCCGAAAGTTCCGGGCGTAGCACCCGGAGCAATCGAAGCTATGGCTGCCAGCACCCGGAACTTTCGGCGTCAGAGCCCGGAACGGGTGGTGTGTCTTTATAAGCTACGTGACTTTTTTTCAGAGTGCAGAAAACTGGAAATCTCAATACAGAGGGAAAAAGCTCATTTGAGCACAATTTTCCTTCAAAGAGATACGCTGTTTGGTGCAACACTAAAATAAGTACGACCTTCAGCAATGCAACTACATCTTTGAGGGAAAATTATTGCGCTCGAATGAGCTTTTTCCTTTCGTATTGAGATTTCCTGCTTTCTGGATGTTAACGCACGTTGGCCACATGTCTAACTCACTGTCTATTCAAAACTATTCATATAATATTTCAAGGAGATATTTTGGGCCATTTCCTTCTATTAAAAATATTTAAAAAAGTACGCGAAGAACTTTCAACGTTGCAGTGGAGGCAGAGGCGGATCCGCAAGTTGGCAACACCGGATTTCCTCCATTTAAACCTACGCTAAATAATCGATTCTTGTCGGAGCACCTGGCCCCTCCAAGAATCTATACATTTCCAAAGGTTTGAATGGAGAAAAACAATGCTGCCAATTTTGTGGATCCGCCAATGAATGGAGATACGAATTTTTCAACTTCAGTCATCAACATTCAAATCTCGCCCCCCCCCCCC